TGACTGGCCACCTCTGTGTCCCCAGCCTGGTCCCTGCACTACCAGCAACCCCGGGGACTTGGCCGCCCTGCAAGCCGGAGCACTGGGTGCCATTTCCCCCCAAATCACCGGGAGGGGTCAGTGCAGCAGGGGTTGGGGGCTTGGGGAGGCGCTGCATGGCCTAAAACAATGATCCCTCCCCTGGGCTGCATGCCAGGCTCCAGCGACCCCTTTGTGCAGCTGACCTTGGAGCCCAGGCATATGTTCCCCGAGCTGGCCCCCCGGGAGACCCAGAAACACAAGAAGGACCTTCACCCGCTGTTTGATGAGACCTTTGAATTGTGAGCAGCCCACACTCCGGCGCCCTCTTCTTCCAGCCCCTCCCCTTGCATCCCCAGCCCTGGCCCTGGCTGCCTCTGTCTTGCTCCTGTTGCTCCCCTGTGGTGACCACATTTGGGCCCCAGGGAGGCAGCACCTGGGACAAGCCTTTGCTCACACAGGCCCCAAACTATTGGGGGAGGGTGGCTGTCTGCATGTTGGACTCAAGAGGCTCCCAGAGAAAGGTTCTGTCTCTTTAAGAGTCAGCCCGGGGTCACAGCGGGCATCCGGCCATATGCTGGCTGAGCACTGATGCTACCCTCCTATCCCCACCTGCCCTTGCCGGTTCCTGCCACCCTGGCCTGTCCCCATGTGTCAGGAGGGGTGGCAGTGAGCAGGGCAGGCAGCTGAGCCCGACTGTGTCCCCCATCCAGCCTGGTGCCCACAGAGCCGTGCCAGGAAGACGGGGCATGCCTCCTGCTCACGGTGCTAGACCACGACACGCTGGGGGCCAATGACCTGGAAGGCGAGGCTTTCCTACCCCTGTGCTCGGTGCCAGGCTTCCCTGGGGACGAGGAGCCCAGCGAGCTGCCACAGACCCGCCTGCCCCTCACCTACCCCACACCCAGCGGTAGGCCTCGGGACAAGGGGGGGCCAGGTCCAACACAGGGTGCAGGGTGGGGGGCCCTGTTGGGGCTTGGGCAGGGTGCCTCCAGAAAAGGAAAGTCAGGATCAGAAAAGGCCTTCTTGGAGGTGGAAGCCAGCAGAACCAGCGAATCTTTGGCCTAATTAAGAGATGGTGAAATTTAAGCCAGGCGAGGTATAACTGACTCCTCTTCCGGGAAAGGTCCCCAAAGGGTTTAGCTGGGTCTCTGACCAGGACACGCCCCAGCACAGTGTTCCCCAGGTGTGATGATAGTAACCGTCTTCGCACCCGTTATGGCCTGGTTCTCCAACAACCCAACGAGGCAGGTATTCTGTTTTACAGACGAGTAAACTGAGGCACAAAAACGTTAGATAACTAGCCTCAGGAAGGTTCTCATAAAAACGTGAGTCACAACCACAGGCCCGTCGGCGCCTCTCACCTCACAAGTGGGTCAGCGTGCCCGGGCCAGCACTGTGGTGCCAGGGGACCGAGTGTGTCCAGTCTTATCTGCCAGGCCGTTTTGTGAGCCTGGCTGGGGTGGGGCCACCTAGTTTCCAGGTCAGCTGGGGTATGGGCAGTGCCGTGCCCCTCACCACCACCCAGGCCCTGGGTGGGGGCTCCCGCGAGTCTGACCCCCAAGCCCCTCTCTTCACAGGGGACCCAATCCTGCAGCTGCTGGAGAGCCGCAAGGGGGACCGTGAGGCCCAGGCCTTTGTGAAGATGCGGCAGCAGCGAGCCAAGCAGGCCGCGCAGCACACCCCGCGGCCAGGGTGTTAGCGGGGGGCTGGGGTAGGGTTCCCTGTGGGGGCCGCCTTTCCTGGGAGGCCTGGTCCTCCCCACCACAGTGCAGCCCACCTGCCTGGCCTAGTGCTCCAGAAGGGTCCTGCAGCCCTGGGAGCCCCAGCACACGAGAGCCCAGAATGCTGACCCCCTCAGCCCACTTGCCAGAACAAGGCTAGGCTGCTATTGGCAGTCTTTACACTCCCTCCTGCTCCCTCCAGCCCCAGGAGGGGAGGCAGCCGTCTGCACCATCCCTGTGCCCCTTTCCCCTTTGGGAAAATCTGCTCCCGCATAGTAGGGTCTCGGGCCACAGGGGTGGGGATGCAGGCTCCCTGGTCTTGTTCTTTAGCACCCCACCCAGGCTCACTGGGCCAGGGCTGTGGCTCAGATCCTCCTGAGGAAAGGGGGCACCCTGCCGGCTGTGAGGCTGCGGCTGCCTGGGTGGAGGCCCTGCGGTGGTGGTGTCATTAAGGGGTGCTGCCAGCACCCTGGCTGAGGAGCCTGGAGCTGGGTGAGAGTTGCTGGCAGCGGGCTGGCAGGGAAGGGCAGAGCAGAAAGGAAGCTCGGCTAGCTATGTCTCCCTAAGATAGCACCCGACACCGGAAACAACAGATCAGCAAATAACCTATTCGTAAATAGATCAGCAAATAAAATAATTAGAAAAATAATAAAAAATAAAAATCCACTGTCCTCCTTAGGGGACACTGAGCTGCTGTTGAGGGTGATGGAAAAATCTGGAAATGGACAGTGGTGACGGCTGCACAACATGATCGTAGTTAATGTCACTGAATTGTACAGGGAAAAACATTGAAATGGGAACGTTATATACTTACCAGACACACACGCACACACACACGCACACACGCACACACACACAAACGCACACACGCACGCACACACACGCACACGCACACAAACGCACGCACACACGCACACACACGCACACACACGCACAATTCGTTGTCCTCTTAGAAAACACTGCTGACCTGCAGTGGGGCCATGCAGCCCCCAGGAGACCTTGAGGGGCCTGGTCCACCCCAGGCTCCCCATGTCACAAAGCAGCAGGGTGGAGGTGGGGGTGACTGACGCAGAAGCAGGGGCAACTGGCGCTACTGGTGCCTTGGCCTTGGGCTCTGAGGGAAATTTACCAGGCAGACACAGCAGTTCAGGACAGGGGTCTGGAACTCTGGGGGAGCCCCATTACTGGGGGGCCTCCTGAGGGGACAGGTTGAGGCCAAGCAGTTGTTGTAGACAGCAGGACTTCGAGGAACTGGGTCTCAGCTCTACCTGGGGGAGGTGGCCCTGCGCACTGGTAGTCTGAGCCCGACTCCCACTGTGTCATTCAGGCTGTGGCCCTGGCTGAGCCACTTGACCTCTCCGAGCCTGCACAAGTAATATGGAGCAGAGAGGGTAGATGACCTCCAAGGCCCCTTTCCTCTCTCAACCTCCAAGATCCTGCCACAGGACCTCACTGGGGTGTGCCTTCTTCACACCCATAAAGCCCAGCTGAGAGCAGGGGAGAGGGAGGAGGGGGGCTCTCAAAGGGTTTCAATGGTCATCCCTCAGGAGGCAGGAGGGTTGGGGTAGGGTGGAAGGACATGTCCTCCGGCCTCGTCTTTTATGCAAATCATCCCTCGGGAAGGCACTGGGAGTCCACGTTTCTCTGAGAAACAGTGCAGTCCCATTGCCTTTTGGGAAACCTCACAGCTGCAGACAGCAGGCCTGAGAAGAGTCCCGGGCCTGGGAGGTCTGTGTACTCCCCCCAGCCCTGGTGGGGAGCTGTGTCTAGGGCTCTGGAGCCGACTTCGAACCTGGAGGGGCCCAGGGAGCCTGGAGGCCTCCCCTCAGCAGCTAGCCACACCCTAGCTAGCATGTGGGGTTTGCGAGGCTGAGGCAAGGCTCCGGGGCCCAAAAGGTGGGAAGCTGCTGGCCTGACTCCCAGCTCAGAGGCCCTCCTCGGCCCACCCCCCTGACCCCATGGAAACAAGCTACCACTGCAAGTTCATATTTTATTTCCAATATGTTTGGAGCTCTGTTGATTTTCGCATTTTCATAAAAAAAGAGAAAGTTGTCAATTCATTGAAAGCCCTTTCGTGCTGAGCCCAAGAGGGGGGCCTGGGCTGGGGCCAGACCCTTCCCAGCCCCCTTGCTCCAGACACCAGTGCTGGGAGCGGGGTCACCACCTTCCTCCCGCCCCGCCCTCCCGCCCCACGGCACCTCTCTGTACATGATGATTTAAAAATGGAAGCTGAGACACACTAGACAGTGGACAGGCACGCACACACACGCACACAGGCGTCCACCCTGGGCTGGGCAGGACGTCAGCTGCACTCAGAGAGCACCAAGGAATGCACGCGGGCCCTCCTTCCAGGGGCAGGGCCACAGCCCCTCCCACCAATTGCCCTACTAGCTGCCAGAGGGAGATGGACAGCAGGTGGGGGGGGGGTGACAGCTGGGGGTCAGAGAGGGCCGTGCCAGCCTGCTAGGTGGCCCTGGGGCCCTAGTGGGGGTAGAGGGAGAGGACCAAGGGTGGACCCCAGCCTCAGGAACCTGAGGGACAGAACTCCAGGCCTTGACCCCCCAGGAGCCTCAGGCCCAGGTGTTAGGAGAAGGGCCGGCCCTACAGCCTTGGCCCGCCAGCCCCTGCCAACTCTCCTTAGAATGAAATACACATTTGGTAAAGAGCCTTTGAGCTAGGCTGGTGTGTCCCAGTGCACCCCCCAGCCCTCCTCGTGGCTCTCACAGCTGGGACCCAGGTCTGCTCCTGGGGACCCGAGTCCTCCGCACCAGCTCTACTCCCCTGGCCTGGGGAGGTGGGTGAGCAGGGCCTGCCCTGAAGGCTTCTCCCCACCCTCGGCCCTTCCAGCTTCCCACCCTTCCCTGCTCAGACCCCAGGAAGTTAAAAATAGTTAGTTCCTACATAAAAAAAAGACAGATTCCCTGCCAAAGGGCCGGTTGGGGGAGGGGGGCTTTGTCTCTGCAGTGGGAAGGGCAGGGGTGGGCAGGGGTGGGCACGGGCGGGCGGGGGGACTGCAAAATAGTTTTTCTTTTAAAAAGTGCTTGGTAAGTCGGTTTTAAAGTGTGTGTCTATATCTATGTACAGATATACACACAGACACTGTTCACACGCTGGCCGCCCACGCACGCCCGCACGCATACAGAATGTATACATATACAGAATCATATACATATACATACATACATACATATATATATATCTCTATATATACTTTAAAAAGTCCTAGGTGAGCAGTGGGCCGGGCGGCCGGGCGCAGGGTCACGACTGCAGGGCGTGGGCCCGGCCGGGCTGGCAGACGGGGCACTCGCCACCCTCGGCACACAGCTCACACAGCACAGCGTGTTGGCACGGCAGCACCGCCCGGGTCTGCTCCTGACACTTAAGGCATTTCACCGACTGCATGTGGAACACGGCCTGCGGGGAGACGGCACGTGGTCACTGCTGTGCTCTCTGCCGCTAGCCTGGCCCTAAGTCGGGCCAGGAGCTCCTCAGCCCTCTCTTCAGCCCCCTTAGGATGGAGAAACTGAGGCCAGAGCCACTCAGCAGCACGCTGCTCGAAGCCCGCAGCTGGCAAGAGAGACGGGTGTCAGGGAGAAGCTGCGAGGGGGAGTGGAGCTGGGCTGCCCTGAGGTGCAGCGCCCACGCCTGAAGGGATTGCCCTCGCACCAAAGCTTCTGCCTCTGTTGTCTCGTTCGCTCTCATGGTGGCTGTAGGTCCCCGAATGAGAAGAAGGGGGCTGAGAGGGCTGTGACATGCTCACAGTCACATGGCCATGCCTGGGGCTTGTCAAAAGCCTCACAAAGCAAATAAAGCTCTTCCCACTGCACCATGCTGCCCAGGGACCCAGCAGGGCACCTAGGATGCAGACAGGGCAGCCCTGGGGGCCTGGACTGTTCTGGAATGCCTGCTGGTACGTGGAAAGTGTACAAGAGAAACCCTCAGGACCACAACTGAGGGCCCAGGACTATTAATGCAGCTCCGGTCAGCGCCTGCCTGTAAGTACCAGAGTGGACACTGACACCTCCAGTTGTCTGACCACCCTTCCTGGCCCCCTGCCAGCAGGCCAGCATTCTGAGTGCTGGAGGCGCTCAGAAGAAGGGGGGCCATCCCTGGAGCAAGCTCAATGTGGTCAGAGTCTAGCGGCTAGCTGAGGCCACTGTCCACCCTCCCTGGGTCTCCCCTAACTTCCCACTGACCTTGTCCACTTGCTCCAGGTGGGCCCGCAGCTGCTTCTGGAGGGAGTAGAGGGTGGAGAGCGAGAGGGCCTCCAGGTCGGAGAAGGTGGGCAGGGCTGGCGGGTCAGGCCCCGCGTGCAGCCGCTCTAGCTCCTCCTGCAGTTTCTTCACCTGCACCTCCAGCGCGTCCCGCTGCTCCCGGGCCAGCTCGCACTCGGCGCCCGCTGCACTGGCCCGCTCACTGGCCTCCTCCGCCTCCTTCTTCCAGGCATCACAAGCCTGTGGGCCCAATACACAGCACCTTGTCACGAGGGTGCCCCTTGCCCCTGCCCCCTAGAGAGCATCTCTGAGAACTGTGTGGGCCACTTGGGCAAGGGCCTGCGGTGGGCTGGGCTGCTGCCTGGGGAGGGGGCCAGAGAGGAGGCTGACACTGCCTACAGAGAAGTTTCAGGATCTTCTGCAAGAGCCCCACTGGGCAGGAAAGGGGCCAGGCCTGCACAGCAGGGTGAGCACTAGGCAAAGGCCGGCTCCTGGCCAGCACCTCAGGGGCAGCTGGGCCGCAGCTGGACACAGGGCCCATCTCAGAGCCTGGCACCCTTGACCTGGAGCCCAGGAGAGCAGACCACGCAACAGCTTACAGAGGGAGTTCAAGGCACGCCAACCACCCAGGGTCCTGACTAGCAAGGCAGATCCTTCCAAGGGAGAGAGCAAACAGAACCAGGAGTTTGCTGTGTCCTGCCAGGCCCCTGCCCGCCCACCCCATGTGCCCCTGTGTAAGACGGGCTCGGCCGGACGACCCCAGGGACTAGGCGGCGGGCAGTGCGGCCAGTACCTGCTTGGCCTGCTTCCAGGACTCCTCCCACTGCTTGATGGTGCAGTTGGCTTCCTCTAGCTCTTGCCGAAGCCGGGCCAGCTCAGCAGCCCCTGGCCCTGACAGGAAGGCAGGGGATGTGCCCGGGGAGAAGCTGCCAGAGGCAAAGTGCTCCCAGATGCTGCTGTTCATCCCGTTCAGACCTGCCCCAGGAGGGGAGGAACATCAAGGCTTTAGAGGTTCCTGGGCCCCACCCCGAGCCTGGCCACCTGTCACTAGTGCTTCCCTCACATTCTTCCATTTAATCCTCACAGTAGCCTGACGCAATGGGTGCTGCCAGTAGACCCATTTTACGGCAGAGGAAACTAAGGCAGATAAGTAACTTGTCCTGGGTTGCGCAGCTAGGGGGTAGTGGCCCAGGGACTTGCCCCCACCTCTGAGTCCAAAGCCCCTGCTCCTACACCTGCACTATGCTGCCGTGGACAGAGTGGACAGAATGGCCAAAGGCACTTTCTAGAAGCCAGGCTTCCTGCCCCAGTCTTCTCAGTGAGCTGTGTCCCCTCTTACCCAAAGATCCGTGTGATGCTGAGGTCCCCAAAAACGTATTTTCTGACTGGCTCAGGTGGCCCTGGGGCTGCTGCAGGAAATGTGAGGAGAGGCTGACAGGAGGGGATGGGGACGCCGAGTGGAAGGAGGCAGAGCTGCCCAGGGAGCCAGGGATGTTCACAGGCGCAGAACTCTGCAGCAAACTGCCGCCTGCAAGAGGCCGAGAGGGAGTGAGGGTGGGCCAGCTGTGGGGGGCCGCACGGGCACAGGCCGCTCGAAGCCAGCCAGCTGGACTCCTGGGAGGCCCTCCCATGCCACCCTGCCGCCGCTGCCCAGTACCGATTGTGATGCTGCCGGGGTGGGGCACTGTGCTGCTATCGAAAGTCTTCTCCAAGGCGGCCACCCCAAACTCGTTCAGGTCCAAGTCATCCAGGGCTGACTCTAGGGGCAGAGTGACCAAGGTGTGAGCCTCCTGGCCTCGGCTCCGGGACCCACCTGACCTTTGCTACCTCATCCCCAGTGCCCCTGCCACATCTTCAAGCTCAAGCCACACTAAGCCAAGCTGTCTCAGGCCTCTGGGCCTTTGCTTAGGCTGTTCTGTCAACACTGACCCCCACACTGTCTCCCTAGTGAAGTCGAGCTCTGATACCCCCAGAGGAATCAAGTCCCAGTGCGAGACCCTGGCCTCTGACAGAGGTCTTGTCTCCATGTTACAGCTAGTGCATCTCACCTGAGCTCCCTGAGGGTGGGGAGGCCTCTGGGCCCTCGGTGCCTAGCGCATGGGAGGTGTTCGAAAAGGTTCCCTGCCCTCGGCTGACTGGTCAGGGAGGGCAGAACAGTATGTCTTCATCTCTGTCTCCCCAGTGCCTGCCATAGGACCTGACACAAAATGGGCATCTGTACGACTGCTCAAAGAGAAGGGCAGCGACTTCTCAGGACCAGGACTCTGAGGACAGTTGTGCAGGTTGTTTACTGCACAAGGACATCTCGTGTGAGAACGAGCGGGGGCTGAGTGACACGCGGCTTGGGGTGAGGCTGCACTGGCACAGGGAAGAGGTGATTTACGTGAGAGGGCTCTAAGCCTTGGTCCTGCACCTTGGGCTCATTTTCCCTTTTAGCTCAAAGGGCCCAGAGCACCCGCCCTCCGCCTCTCCCAAGACAGCTGTCTAAGGTGACTGGTGTGCCGATTTGAGTCTCACTCCAGAGACCTGAGAGCCTCTGACTCCAGGCCCATGCCTGGGCCCAGCAACAGAAACGGTCTAATTACCTATCACCGACTCTACCGTGTCACTGGTGGGATAGAAGGGCAGCGCGTTTGCGTTCATGCCAGGGACGCTGCTGGTGCCTGCGGGACTAGGGGGAGTAGCTGCCAGGCTGGAGGTGATACTAGAAGAAATGCTTGAGGTCAGGGGGCTGCCCACGGGGAGGAGGCCCAGCATGTCCTGCAACGAGAGAGTGAGGAGAGGCAATGGGATGCTGTGTGCAGAGGCGTGGTCGAGCTAGAGATGGCAGCTGGGAGGGGCAGAGGGAAATGGCCTTGCCCAGCCGACACCTTGTGGAGAGGCTGGCGGTGTGGCTGGGGGCCAGCAGCAGGTGAGGAAGCAGCAGCACGCTAAGACGCTCAGTGCCTACTGCTCTGACCGACTGATGACTGAGGCCAGGAGTGGAGGGGCTCAGGGCCTGACCCCACCCTCTGCTCTGGATTGCCCTGTCCTCAGCTGGGCCCTCATTCATCAGTCCCTCTGGGAAGCGGGCCCCCACACCCTGAGGCCTCCTGGGGTTCTGGCTTGTCCTGTCCACAGTGGGTGCCACCAGGGGAGGAGGGGCTGAGAGCTCTATACCTGTTTGGGCTGTAGCAGAGACTGCTCTTGACTCCTGGGCTCTAGGGAGTGGGGTTTTAATTTGGCCTAGAGAAAAGTCAGGGGGCAGGAGATGAACGTGGTTAGGGAGGCCCCAGTCAAGAGTCCACCTGGGCCTGCCACAGCTCATGGGGCTGCAGGGACGGGGTGGGAGGCTCCAGACACGGCTGCCTGTCGTGCCGCCAGCAAGCCCCCTTGACACGCACACACCCTCTCCCTCCCTGCTCCCACTCCTCTTCCTCCCCCAAGACCCAAAGAAGCTGCTCCTCTCCTCCCCAGAGACTCTATGCCTCAGACAAGCCCAGAAGGTTTCTTTCCTGGCCCAGTTGGGACCCCTCCGTCCTGCTCCCCAAGGCCTGCCATCCACCAAGGTAGCACAGAGCGGAAAGTGGCTGTGTTGGGTTGGAAGGCCTGGGGGATCCTCTATTCACCAGCTCTGTGACACTGGGTAAGTCTCAGCCAGGCTAGGCCTTCCTGTCTTCATCTGCACAACGGAGCTTACTCCTGGATGAGCTGAGGACAGGGCTCCTAGCTCCTAGTCACCACCCCCAGCTGGGCCAAGTCACTCTCAAGCACTCTCTTGCCCACGCGGAAGAAGGCTACCCACACCGGGCATGAAGCATCCTCTGCTGCCCCTCGTCCTTACCTGGCATTTGAAATTTTTCAGGTACTCGGCTCCCACCTGGTCCTCCCTCTCAAAGCCGGGAGCCTTCTTGTAGCTGCTAGGGGCAAGGCTGGACTCCCCAGGAAAGACAATGCCCTCCAGGTTGGGGGGCTTCCTGACGGAGCCCGGGGGGGAGCCGCAGAGGTTCGATGGGCTGCCTAGGCTGCTGTTTCTACAGAGGAGCTGCCAGGAGGATGGGAGAGAACATGTGAGCAAAGCACGGGCCGAGTACAGTGCCCGTCCCCCACGCTCTCCTCAGATGGGGGTCTTCAGTGACGGGCTCAGTTCCATTTTCATCTGCCCCTGGGCAGCAACAACTACCCAGGAACCCGTTTCTCATGGGGGGGTGGGGCACGAGGCAGGTGGCTTTGTCCCCTCAACCAGCTCCACCCAGGCTGACCAATGGAGGCTTGGGGACCCCCCACTTTGGCTCCCCACAAGAGTTCAAAAGGCCCTTGGCCCCAGGCCAGATACCAGGGCCTCTTCCTCACATGCAGGCTGAGAGAGCCTAGGGGCAGGAGAGGCAGGTGCTGGTTCCTAGACAGGCATGGGCCCACCCCCGACCCCAAGTCCAGTGGGACAAGGCCCCAAACCCCCAGGCCCGGCACATACGGTGCTGAGGTCAGGGGCGTGCGGGCTGGAGGGGCTCACAGGCACCGAGTCTCCGGCAGCGGATGGCATGTACAGGACGGGACCCGGCTGGGTGGGGCTGGACACAGCTGAGGAAGGCTGCAGGTCGTCACTCGGGGGTGGCTCTGCAAGAGACAAGGGCAGGGCGTCGGCGGGCTCCTGAGCCAGCTCTGTCCCTCCAAAAGCACGCTGGGCTCTTCCAAAGGAGACCAGCATCCCCTGTGCATAAAAGGGAGGCTCCCTTTATTCTAGTAACATCACATACTGCGCACTGACTGTGCCAAGCAATCTGCACTAACTTATGGATCTTCACCACGACTGGAAGACAGAACTCTTCGTTTGACAGATAAGGAAACTGAGGCTCAGAGAGGTGAGGTGAACTGCCCAAGGTAACAGAGCTGGGGAACACAGGAGCTGGGATTTGAACCCCATCTGTACCTGAGCTACGAATTACTACTCTATACTGCCTCAACCAGGTGGTCCCAGTGCCCATGGCTGGGGACGACCTCGGTGCCATGAACAGGCTTCTCCCTCCTCCTGCAGGACCTCGGTTTCTGTCTCACTCAAATCCCAAAGGTGGGACCCAGAGCAGTGCCTTGAGCTGTCAGCTGGGGGTGAAGACAGGTTGGTAGTGGCGGTCTGGGGCACAATATTGAGGGTCTAGACCTGCGCTGTCCAGGCCAGTGCCACGAGCCACACGTGAAGTGTGCTGGTTGGAACTGAAATGTGCCTAGGTATGAAGGAGTCCCTGGGTGGTACAAACGGCAAAGCCACTCAGTTGCTACCTGAAGGTTGGAGGTTGGAGTCCACCTAGAGGCACCTAAGAAGAAAGGCCTGGTGATCTACTTCTCAAAAACCAGCCATTGAAAACCCTACCGAACACAGTTCTACTCTTGACACACATGGGGCTGCAATGAGTCAGCATTAGCCTGATGGCCACTGGTGGTTTCAGTAGGTGTAAAATACCCACCAGATTTCAAAGACTTCGTACAGAAAAAAAAAATCAGTGAAATATCTTTGCAAATTTTTGTACTTGTTGTGTTGAAATGCTATTTCATATTAGGTTAATAGAAATAAATTATTAAAATTAACGTAGCCTGTTTCTTTTGCTTTTTTAAGTGTGGCTCCTAGAAAATTTAAAATGGCATACAGAGCTCACATTGTGTCTCAACTGGACAGCTCCGCGGGAGAGGCCTGTGTTCACAGTGCACTGTATTCAATCAGCAATGTCTGCCACGGGCGTGCCCTAGGGTGGCTGGGAGGGTGCCTTTTCCCTGAAGGAACATGAGCAGAGGTGGGGGAGGGCAGGGAGGGCATTCCCCCGGGGCAGCGGGGACAACATACGTTCTACGTGGGCAAAGGCGCAGAAGGGTCCACGGGGACAGCTACCCGACTGCTGCATGTCGTTGCATTTGGTGGATTTGTAGATCTAGGGAGCAAAGCGGAGTGGGTCAGGCTGGGCAGGCGCCCCTTCCCCAGCATGGGGGAGAGCTGAGGCATCCTGTCTCCTCCCATCCCACTCCTTCCCTAAGTCTCTCCCTACCACCTTCTTCCTCAAACTCCTGGAGAACTGCAGAGCAGCCCACTGCCACCCCTACTGCCTCCTGGGGCCGTGAACCCACCAGCCCTGGCCTGACCCTCACACAGGCCATCTCCTCCAAGCTGCTCCCTATAACGGTCCTGGCTGGAAGTGAGCCAAGATCACAGGCTCTGCTCCCTGCCTCACAACACCCCCAGGGCACCCTGGGGTGGGATCTACACTAGGTCCACCTTTCCACACTGCTATCCACAGCCTACACAAGGCAGGCCCTGTCCGTGTGTCTACCTCAGGGTGGCCTGGCTTCCAGAGAACCAAGGGCAGGGACAGCCTGGGCCTCTGTACCCTGCATGAGACCTAGGCACACCATTTGCCTCACGGCCACATCATGGGGCTGGTGGGCCAGGGAGCTGTGTCGGGGAGGTTCCTGGTACCCTGCTATCATCTGGGACAGACAGCTAGAAGGAGCTTAAAAAAAAACATCCTGACGTCACTGGATCAGAAGAACCATCAGTGCGCAAAGCACAGAATGGCCAGGTCACTGTGCCCAGTCCGTGCCCTCCCCGTCAGGCCAGTGGGAAACAAAACTGGGAGCAAAAAGCCGCCTGGTGAGTGTGGGCTCAGAACAAGGGAAGCTGCCAAGTGAGGGTGCAGGGCCCCTGCACTGCCTGGTGGGTCCCTCCAACTGGGGGGAGGCCTGTGATTCCAATCCTTCTTCCAGAATGGTATCTGGGTAGGCTTTGCCAACATCTGCCTGGACCCTCCTCTCCTTTCTTCTTGCTTCTCAGAGGAGATATTTAAGCTACCCACGGCCCCTGCTCTGAGGGCCCACCTCTGGGTGGAACTGCTGCTCCGTGCGAGTGTGGCAATACTGGCAGGCATCTCCGTTCTCACACTTGCCAGGGTCTCCCCACTCGTCCCCGTGTTTCACGTTCGGACAGGGAGACGACCTGGTCCAACGATAAAGTGGGGTCAGATAGAGGCAAGAAAGGTGAGATGGTGCCTAGGGGTGCCACCTGGACACCTGCTTGGGGTCCCTCTGCCTCCTAGCCTCTCAGGGCTGGATGCAGACATGGAAGAGACCAGTCGCAGCGTAAGGGCCCTGCTGGGGCCAGCTCAGCTTCTCTGGCTCAGGCTGGTTGCATCACCAAGGACACTGTTTTGTTCCCCTCAGCCAAGCCCCTCCCACCAAGCACCACCCAAGCCAAGGGAGTGCTCTAGCCAAGCTCTAGCCACAGCCACACTTTCCACACCTGCAGCCTGGCCCTCTGCAGCACAATGGGTCACTTTTACATGGCCTTTCTCACCATGGTTTTGTAACTCCTACCAAATGACTGGGTGGGGGTATGCAAGTGAGGTGCTTGTGGCCTACCAAAGGAATTGGATAGCTTGCTAATAATGCAAATAAGCTACATGGCACCCTTGTTGGGGTGGGACCATGCAAAGAAGGTATATGGAACCCTAATGAGGGGATTAGTCAGTTCTGCCATCCCACTAAGCTTAAAGAGAGACACAGAGAGAAGGAGCTGTAACACGGAAGACAGCAAGAGACGGCAGCACAGCAGTAGCAACAGCAATGGTGGCGTGAGACGGCAGGAACCAGGAGACTGGCAGGAGACAGCTGTGGTACACCTTGCCAACCCACAGAGCTAGCAGCTTTGTAACACTTGTCCAAGCAGGGCAGAGGCCAGGCTGGCCAAAAAGGCCCAAGGGGCCGAGAGGTTAAGGGCCAGAGAGAGGCCTGCCTGTGGACACAGCTGAGCAGCTGTCCTGACCAAAACAGAACTGTATCCTGAGCATTCCTGATGCTGAACTGAAACCTGTCACTTCCCTAATAAACTCTATGACTGTGAGTATGTGAGTTCTGTGTGGCCATTGCAACATATTATCAAACCCGGCAGAGATGTAGAGTCTGTCATGGGAGGGATATCTGGTGTCAGAATTGGTAAAAAGGGTGAAGGGTGGAGGTATGTCTGACCTCCACCTCATAGCCATCAGCCTTGGGCTGCTGATGTTTATAATCATTCTCCTCCCCCCCTGTGAAATTAAAGGAGGTAAGATGCCCCTATCACGCCATTTTTACAGTTGGTGTCAGAAGTGGGATTCATTGCAATAGCTCCAGACTCACGGAAGCATGGGACTTTGTAAGAGAAAGAACAAAGAGATGTGGGAAACAAAACTTTTGACTCTTAGAAGGTTATTTGGTTGTTGCTACCTGTAATGGCTGAAAGGAAAGAGATGTTATACTGCAGCTGAGAGAAAAGCTGCATCTAGAGTGGCTTGGGGCAAAGCCAGGCTGGTTAAACAAGATGACTGACAGGGAGCCAGGGTCTTTTGGTTCCACCCAGTCAGACACCCAACGTCATATGCACATGAACAGGAAGACAGTCAAAATGTGACAAGATGACACTGGAATGTTTTAAAAAGGGCTCTGTGTTTATTTGAATGTACTATGGATACTGAACATTTCTCCTACCTACTGTTGTAAAACAGACCTACATGTATGATAAAAATGAATACTGGGTACTACAGATAACAGCATGTAACTCTGCCTTCAGCCAATCATTGATTGGATATGTTAAAAGACAAAGTAGGGTTTGCCTGAAAGAAACCCAGGCTGTTAGTTTCAATTAGTAGAACTTTGTACAGCGTACTGGGGACTTAGGTCAAAAACCTGAGCCTCACTCACAACCTTCAGAGTTGGGAAATTTGCATTTGAAAGGACATACAACAGAGATAAAAATGACTTTTACTTTTGAGTTTTGACCAAGCAGTTTGCCACTGGATGCATCAAGGCAGGAAAAGTCAAGTGTCCATCAGAAGAACCCCCTTCCAGGACTGGAAGTTAAATGGAGCTGGTGAGTAGACAGCCTGGTATGCTCACTTGAGGTAACCACATGGGGCCACGAGATAAGTGGAAGTGGGGGAGGGCACAGCAATGAAGAGATGGGCTGAGTTTGGACATGTTTCACTGGCACCTGTTGACCTAAGCCCATGCGGCTAGGAATGAGAGAGAGAAGGGGCTAGGTCTGAAGTGCTGGGAGGTGTGTGGACTCCTGAGCCAATGGCTGGTATCTGCTGATCTAGCCCACGGGGGACAGATAGGGATGAATTAAGCAGAACCTGATCAAATGAAGAGAGAGAGATGTTGGACACTGTGAGGTGGTGTAAACTGCAGCAATTTGATGGCTTACTCTGGACTAGACTTTGCTTATGGATGTTGTTGTTGTTGTTGTTGAGTACTGTCAAGTCTGTTCTGACTCATGGTGACCCTACGTACAACAGAACAAAACACTGCCCAGTCCTGCGCCATCCTCACGATCCTTGTTATGCTTCAGTCCATTGTTGCAGCCACTGTGTCAATCCATCTCACTGAGGGTCTTCCTCTTTTTCGTCGACCCTCTACTTTACCAAGCATGATGTCCTTCCCCAGGGACTGATCCTTCCTGATAATATGTCAGAAGTATGTGAGACAAAGTCTCATCCACCCTCGCTTCTAAGGAGCATTCTGGCTGTACTTCTTCCAAGATGGATTTGGTCATTGTTTTGGCAGTCCATAGTATATTCAATATTCTTCATCAACACCATAATGCAAATGCGTCAATTCTTCCTCGGTCTTCCTTACTCATTGCCCAGCTTTTGCATGCATTGAAAACACCATGGCTTGGCTCAGGTGCACCTTAGTTCTGAAAGTGACATCTTTGCTTTTTAACACTTTCAAGAAGTCTTTTGCAGCAGGTTTGCCCAATGCAATGCGTCATTTGATTTCTTGACTGCTGCTTCCATGAGTGTTGACTGTGGATCCAAGTAAAATGAAATCCTTGACAACTTCAATCTTTTCTCCGTTTATCATGATGTTGCTTATTAGTCCAGTTGTGAGAATTTTTGCTTACAGACGCAGATGCTCAAACTTCCAACCGCAACAGAAGAGTCTTCAGATCAAGGTACATGCTTGTCTCCTCAGAATACTGGCTTGATCAGGACAAGCAATTTAGAAATTGGCTATGTAAAATGGAGGCATGAAGTGGTTGGCTTACACGCTTTTGTGGGTGTGCTTACACTCAAAATGAGGGGAACAAGGAAGGCTCCCCACTGAATAGATTCCTCTTTTCCTGATGGGTCTGGGGAAGAGAGGGTGGGGGAAGATGCTGATAGAATTATATGATTCAGTTGTGAGTGCTGACTGTTAACAGGGTTAACTGTGATTGTAAAAACTGTAATTGTAGACGTTGCAAATGTTAAAAAGTAGACTAAGGGGGAGGTACTGCTGGACTGGGGTACACTGGCCAAACCTAAAGTCCCTTAAAGGTTTTACTATGCTGATACCACGTGAGGCTCAGAGCAAGGGAATAATCTTCTCTCAGTTAAATTTTATCAGACACCAGAGAGGCTAAAACAGAGATGACTTTTGGAGAACCTGACCAGATCAGAGAGTATCTACAGCAGACATGAACAGCTGGTACCTGAGTAACCTCACCCTGAGGACTCTTTGCCCTACTGAAGGACTAATTGTTAATGACTATTTTGGACTGTAAAATGATTGGGAGGGGGAAGTTATCATCCAACTATGAAAGAACCACAGGTAGCCAGAGAGTGGCTTACAGTGCGATGGATTGCTTTTATATGGCTTTTCTGGCCATGGTCTTGTAACTTGCACCAAATGACTGGGTGAGACTATGCAAATGAGGTGCTTGTGGCCCACCAAGGGAATAGGATAGTTTGTTAAAAACACAAATAAGGTGCATGGCACCCTTGTGGGGGTGGGACCATGGAAATAATGTGTATGGAACCATAACAAGGGAATCGGTCAGTTTGCCATGCCGCTAGGCTTAAAGGGAGACACAGGGAAAGAGAAGGAAGAGCCATAACACAGATGACAGTGAGAGACGGCAGCACCTCAGTAGAAAAAGCGGTATCGGTGCCAGATGACGGGAACCAGGAGACTGGTAGAAGACGGTTGCGGTGGGGCTTGCCGACCCACAGAGCTAGGAGCTTTCTAACACCTGCCCAACCAGGGCAGAGGCTGGGCCAGCCTGAGGCCCACCTGTGGGCACTGCCAAGAAGCTGCGCTGACCGAAGAACTGTATCTTGAGTTGTTCCTGATCCTGAATTGAAATCTGTTACCTTCCTAACAAACCCCATAACCATGAGTATGGTCATGAGTTCTGTGTGGCCACTGCAATGAATTATTAAACCCAGCAGAGAGGTACAGACTGCCATGGGAGGGATGGCTGATGTCAGAATTGGTAAAAAGGTTGGAGGGTGGAGGTATGTCGGACTTCCACCTCATAAGAATCAGCCTTGGGCTGTTGATGCTGATAATGATTCTCCTCCCTCCTTGTGAAGTTAGAGGAGATCAGCCACCCTCACCATGCCGTTTTTATACACCCCCAGCAGATGCCCCTCCAGATCAGAACTGGGAGGATCTCAGAGACTATCTGATCCAAGGCCCTCGTTTCATATGAGAGAACGATCTGGGCTCCCACTGTTCAACCAACCTCACTATCCCTTTCCCTTGTGCCTGGGCCCTGTGATCCTGTCATTCCCAAGGCTGGCCTCCCCACCTCCCTGAGCACTGCAGTGGTAGTAGCCCCCTCCGTGGTCCCTTCCCGGCCATCCTCCCTCCCATGGCCACCCTCCTGAGGCCCAAGAACCTGTATTTGTGCTTCCGGGGACTCCGCCGCCGGTCCTTGCTGTTGTGGTAGTAGGGACAGGCATAGCCCTGGCGGCACAGCCGCGGGGGCTTCTTGCATGGCTCCGTCTTGTAGTTCCCCAGCACATAAGTGGTCTCTGCATGGGGGGCAGAGAGCAAGGATAAGGTGAGTGGGGCTGCAGTACCAGGAGTGGGGGAGATGTCTCTGCCACTAGGAAGGTCCAGAAGCTGAGGCTCCTGTAAAAGGTGACAGCGAGGCCACCTCACAGGCCATGGGCACTCTAGGGAGGACAACACTAAGGTTGAGACCCAGAAGAAAGGGAAGGAAGGCACTGTCCCTGGAGATTCCCACAGCGCACAGGGGAAGAGGGTACCTTTGAGGGTTGACAACATATGTATGTGCACTTACATACATGCACAAATCCACGTATGTGGAAACCCACTATAAGACTTAGGAGCACCTAGGGTGATGGGGGAGCCATGCTGACATAGTGGTTAAGAGCTCGGCTGCTAACCAAAAGGTCAGCAGTTCGAGTCCACCAGCCGCTCCTTGGAAACCACATGGGACAGTTCTACCCTGTCCTATAGGGTTGCCATGAGTCAGAATCAACTCAAAGCAACGGACTTGGTTTTGGAAGGGTGATGGGAGCAGGCAGGGTACATCTGGGGAAACTCCCCTAGAAGTGACTCTTGAATGACAGGACTGTGGCTTGGGTGGGATAAGAGGTGACTGGGTGTCCCTTGGCAGAGGTGGTGGTGGGGAGCCAAGTCCCAGGGCAGCTACAGCAGAGGGGAGAGAGGGCAGACAGCTGACAGAGCGGTGTGGCCACCATCACCTTGCCACCGCGGCTCCTCGCTGAGGATCTTTTCTATCATGGCATGGCTCGCAGCCCCAGCCGACTGGCCCTCAATGCTGCCCTCTACTGTGGTCTGGCCATTCTGCAAGGCCTCCATGGCCTGGAGCTCCCTGGGAGGAGAGAAGAGGACAGAGGGAGGGGAGGGGGATAAGGGCGGGAACCAGAGCACAGTCTGTGGTACTCAGCGTCCTCAGCAGCCAGGCCCCGACCCAGCCCACCACAACCCACAGCCCACCTGATGTCGTAGACAGGGGAGCGGAGGTCATGGGGCCCGTGGGCGAAAGCGCAGTGCAGGCCGTTTTTGGTGCAGTTGCCTTTGGAGTCTGTCTCGTGGATGCAGATTCCGGTTTTGTAGTAGCGTAGGTGGTACCTGCGCTCAGTGTCCCCTGTGGTCCTGTGCAGGAATGGGCACCTGGAACATGGCAGTGGGGTCACTCAGCTTTGGCCCTGCCATCTGGGCTACACCTCACCCTTCCCCAGCTGTTGAAGGGCTTTCACCAGGACCCAGGTGTGCTCACTGATCCGGATCAAGGAGATCCAGTGACAGGAGTCCTGCTGTGAAACCAGAACCGGCCTCCCTGTGTCAGCCCGCCCAGGAGTCCTGCCTGGACTGCCCTCAGGAGATGCCCCAGAGGCTTCCCTGGGTGGAGTGGACCCGGGAAGACAAGTGCTCCCCAGACTGGGTCCTCTGAGAAGCAAACCGCCCACTTACAACACGGGCACCCCTGCGCCTGGAGAGGTCAGCAGGCCTCCGACCTCTGTGAAAGATGTGCTGGTGCAGGGGTGGGGTAGTGAGCTGTCCCACCAAGCCTGGTGGTGACTCCCACCACCTCTGCAAAGCTGAAACAGATCACCAGCAGAGCTGACGCAGGTCCCTCAGTGATCTGCCAGGCTTGCAGTCCCCTCCTGACACCTGTGCTGTGCCCTGTCTCTCTACAGGCATTTGTGGTCAAACATTTAGGGTCAGCAAAATAGGGGGAACTGTCTCTAAACAGCCAGCCTTGGCAGGGCCTGGATGGGACGGAGTGGGGGGTGGAGGGATAGGGTGGGGGTACCTGTGGTCTGCCCAGCTAGGTTCAGGAACATGGCTCTTAGTGGCTCTAAGGCTTAGCAGAAAGCCTGTTTAGGGTTTCCCCCAAGTGGGGAAAAGGAAAAGGAGCCCCCAGAGAACGGCAGGGCTTGAGCCAGGCCTGGGCCGCAGCAAGGGGGCTGCGCTGGCTCCCAGGCTCTGCTGGCCTGCTATGAAGGCATCTACCCAGAAGGAGACAGGGGCTCCTCTGCGGGCGGCTGGGCACTCACTCGTCGCCCTCTGGGCAGAGGCCCGTCGCTTCGTCGTACTTGGTGCAGTAGACGTCGGGGCTGTAGTTGAAGGTGCCGTCCCGGCGGCGGATGGACCGGCGGCGCCGCTGATTCACGAAGTGCCAGTGGAAGCAGGTGTAGGGCCGATGCTGGGTGCATTTGTGCTGCACGAAGAGCGGGCACTGCTCCGTGCGGAATTCCTTCAGGTACCTGCAGGGAGAGCCCGCGCGCACGGCAGGCCGGAGCAGAGACTGAGGCCCTTGCCTCCCAGCGAGAAGCCAGCCACCAAGTCCCCCAAGGGCCCTGCTCTCGGGTGCTACTTGCACAAGGACACCAGGAGAGGCCCAGGGCTGAGGCTGTGCCACAGTATCAGGATCCCTCCACAGCCAGGTCCCAAGGCAGCCTGCGGGGCAGGAGCCATAGACCACAGGGCCTTCCCAGCCAGCTGCCTATCATGCTGGCTGGCTGAGGTCTTAATCCGTAGCCGGGTTCCCTGAGCCTTCCCTGAGGTTTCCCAGGCCAAACCACTAATTACAGGCAAAAGGCCGCCAACAAGGGCATGAGGCACCTCTCTTAAAAATTTCTGCAAGTTCTCTGCTTCGCAGATCTGCCTGCCAATTCCGGGAGGCCTCACCTGCCCCATGAGCACAGACAGGGTTCCGGGCGAGGGCCAGGGAGGCTTAGGCCCACTGAGGGAAGATCTGTGGACAAGCACTAAAGGGAGGCTGCTGCTTTGAAGCTGGAAGCCCAGGCGACCAGGCATCTCTCTGGACTACTGGCTCAGACAATGACTGTCCTGTCTGTCACCTCCTCCCCGAGATGCTTCCTGGACCACCCTGGTCAGTGGGTTGGGAAGGCACACTCCTATGAGAAGCATTCTGAAGAGCCCCGCCCTCTCAGCCTTGCATCTCCCCAGTAATCTCACCAATGAGCACCTGCAGCAGCAGGGACTATTTATATCCTGACTAACCTGGGGACTTGGGGGCTCGCCATCTGTCCTTTTGGCCTCCTGCCAAACTTCACTTGTCTGTCTCTCCTCTGCCCTGCATGTAATAGACAAGATACCCCCAAAGCTCCTCTCCCATGCCCCACCCAGTGGAGGACCCCAAACCCACTTACCCCCTGACAGAATGTACCATCCATTTTTGCTCACTACGTGTGTCCAGATGGGGGTCTCTTAGAGTTGGGGCTCCCGGGGGGACAGGCAATCTGTGCAGTTCTCTTAATTCATTCTCTCGGTCCCTAACAATAAGGCAACAAACGGCTTGACGGAGGGCATTTGATGCCAGTGAGGAAGAAGGTTCCAGAACGCTCAGGAGCTTGTGTGCAGAAGACAGTGTGGAAGGATCAGCACTGACCACCTGGGTCTGGAGGGCGTGGAACAAAGGCCACAGGACCCCCACACATGACCCTCGGGCCTTACTAGGCTGCTCATGAGGAAGGTGTGGGGCCGGGGGGCCCACAGTAGACTTCTGATAGGTTTTCTTTGTGCAGATGAAATGTGTGGAGAAGTCTGGGTACGTGCCCTGGGTGCTCACTAAGGAGTGCCCTTATTGAGCCTACACCAAGGGCACTGATGAAGGAGCAGGTCCCTGTCCTTAGGAAGCGCACTTTTTCATGAGAAAGACACACAAGCAACAGGTGGAGTCAATCAAGCATGGAGAGGGTACCAGAGGTCTGCTTTGGGAACCCAGAGGAAGGATCCCTGAACCAGGCTGGGACGGGAGAAAAAGAAGAGCAGGCCTCTCAGGGGAGGTGCCAGTGGGTGACAAAGACAGGGAAGGTGTTTTAGGCAAAGGAAAAGAACGGGCTTAAAAATATAGCGTGCATCAGTTCCGAGAGCTCCTTGTACCTCTGTGGGTGAGTGGGGTAGGAGCGGCACTGGAAGGGGGATGAGGAGGGGAGGTGCAGGAGGAGATTTCAGGGATATCATCTCCTGGACCACGTGCATTCTGAGACACTGGGCAGAAATCCAGAAGGCTCTAGAGGGCCCGATACTCTCCTGTCCTCTTTGGCATTTGAACACAAGGCCTTTCTCCTCGGCTCCTGTCAGGTTACACAGAAAGCTGCACCCTCAGGCTGCACAGAGGCACCAAGCCCCAGCACTGAGTTGGGACACCCATCCCCCAAACTTCTCGGCCAATCCCTCTCCTGTGCAGCACATGCTCTGACTCTTCTGACCCACCAGAGACTAACTCAGGAGGTAATGGGTGGGAAACGGGGACAGGAGAAACTTCCATGAAAGGAGGAAGCTGAGCCCAGGGCCAGGAGCACAGAAGAGAGTGTGAGGAGTGATACCAGTTCAACTGGAATTTCAGATAAACAATGAGTAATTGTTTAGTATGTCCCAAATACTGCACGGGATACACCTATACTAAAACACCATCCCACTGTTCATCTGAAATTCCACCTTAGCTGGCATCCTGTGTTTGTATTTTGTAAGTCTGGTAACCCTCGGAATGGTACTGTCTGCTTGGTGTCAGGGCCTCAGTGAAAACCCAGGCAGACAGGCAGGGGCTGAACTCCAGGATGTGGTCACCCTGCCTTGGGCACAGTCTGCCCTCTTGGAAGAGGGGCCCCTGAGGGCAGTAGCTATGCCTGGTGCACCAGCTTACTTGGGACAGACAGAGCCACATACAGATGGGACTCCAAAAGGTCCCCGGCAAGCAGGGGTACCACAGGTAAGGATAGACACTGAGGCGATGAATGCCCCATTTTATGCCTCTTCTCTTCCATTCCCACTGCCACTGCCCCCGGTCAGGGACTTGGTAGCCTCTAACAAAACTGGTTGCCTTGCTTCAGCCTTTCCCATCCTTTTTACACCACACAGTGCTCATTATTCCTCCTAGAACCCAGATATAATTCTCACTTAGCTGCCTAAAAGCCTTCAGCCAACGGGGAACCCAAGGTCGAGAAGGGAGAGTGTTGACATGTTGTGGGGTTGTTAACCAATGTCATAGAACAATACGTGTACTGTTTAATGAGAAGCTGGTTTGTTCTGTGAACCTTCATCTAAAGCACAACTTAAAAAAAAAAGCTTTCAGCCTCCTCCAGCAGTCACTACATAAGCACCAACTACTTAACCTGGCTTTGAGTCCATTGAGTTCCGTGGACTCACACACACCAACGATTGTGAAGATGGCGCAGGACTGGGCAACATTTCATTCTGTTATCAGAAGGTCATCATGAATTGGAGCAGATTCGACAGCAACTAACAACACTGAGCCTGGCATTCCAGGCCCCACACATCTGGCCCCACATAGTTTTCCAGCTTCATTTCCCTTGACTCCCCTCCATTCGAGCCAGTAAAACTGGAGTCCTTGGTGTCTTGCAAATAGACCTTTAACTTTCCTGCCTTTGCTCATGTCCCCGTGTTTCCCTGCAGAAACCTTTCAAGTCTCAATTCTGAATGAATCTTTCGATGTCACCACCTCCATGCAGCCTTCCTTGACCTCCATCTCCTCTCATCTCCCCTCTCCCTTCATCCTTCTCCCCAGCTAAAAGTTATCATCCTCTAATTTTTAGATATTTCTTATGGCCCTTATCCTGCCCATTACTTGTTAACGATGTGTACATTTTTTTTCTACCACTAAATTATAAATTCCTTGGTAGTAAGCTTTTAAGAAACGAGCACAGTGCCTTGGGTAAGTGCACTGACGATTATATAAAGGAACGAAAGTCAAACAGGGAAAATTTCACAAAGCAATGTCACCAGTCTCATGATGCCACCCACCAGGCAGAGCGTTGGGAGTGGGAAGTCTCATCCTATTCCCTTGTGAAAAGCCCTACAGTGCAGCGAACTTGTAGCTCAGCAGACAAGGCTGGACTGTCCTGCTTTGGAAAAACCCCTTCAGGAGAGGAGCTACTCAGACAGGACCCTGATGACCAAATCCAGGCCAAGCAGAGCCTGCTCTCAGAGAGAGAATTCTAACCTTTCACTTAAGTCATTCATGGACCTGTACCATCCACTACCTAGAAACCAAAATCTTTGCTGAGGATTTCCCACCCTCCCTCACCCTCTCCACCTGCACAGGCAATGCAGTGCCCAAAGGGCAGGGAGACAGCCTCTCAGAAATCACTCTTTTCTATTTTTCAAGGACTGAAATGAAATGTAAGCTTTCAGTGGGAATGCACAACTCCAATCCATCTTTCCATTCCAAGGCCTGGAAGCAGAAGATCTAAGAAACTAAATAGGCTGAGATCCACTCTTTAATTCAACCAGCTCTGAGGAAACCCAAGAAGTCCTGGGGTCTAAGCAAGGAGGGAAAGACTCACCAACCACCGTCCCCACCCCTCTAAGATCTGGGAGGGGGCAGGGCCACAGAACTAAATTCTTCACACTCCCAACCCCCAAAACTACCCACACCCAAGGACAAACAACAGAGAACACACACTAGCTTTGAACTCACACCTACAGCGGCCCTGATTAAGTCAAGGGAGCACTCAGAACCTGAGGAAACGAGAGAGGGAGAGAAAGCCACATCTGAGACCAGGACGAAGGGATCAACAGAGCCTGGGGATACTGTGACTCGTCAAAGCTTTGGTGGCTGAGGAATGCCTTCCAGTACTGACTTTAAATCGAAGCTGTTTTTTGCCTCTATTTAGAACATTGTATTACTCTACTAATGGTTTATTTATAAATGTAAAACATTTTATGAAAGTAACATGCCAGTTACCAAAAAAATGGAAAACAAGAGAAAAGGGCAAAATCACCCTTAAACCCACCATCCACTGTTGGCCTTTTGGTAAACTTTCTTCCAATATTTTTATACAGATATAATCATAATGTATCATATTTGCTAAACTGCTCTACAAAACTACAAATACTCTTCTCTGAAACCTTTTAAAACCTTCTAAAGTGCACCCATTTTTTAAAAATCAAATACTGATCTATTTTCTACACTTTTTAATTTATCTTCATTACCCAAAATTCTAAAAAATAACAAAAGCCAAGCTACATGGAATCTAAATTCAATCACTTGCCCCACTAAACCAACACTGGTAACAAGTAAGGGGTTAACAATAACTTAGGTAAATCACATCGCCCTTGAGTTCAAGCGCTAAACTGCTCCCACTCAATTTCCCGCTAATCCTATTCCAGGTTGTTGTAACAGATTCATCAATTTGGGGGTTTTCGCTCTCTTCTGGGGAGGAGTGTGAGAATTTTAACAAACTGAATAAACAGAAAAGTACTAGAGATAACTGAGAGAAGAATTAGAGGCAGTGGAGACAAAGTTGGTGCCCTTTTAATCCACATCTAGCTCCCCACTCCTTCTAGAACAATGTTTATGGTCTCACTGCCTCTACCTCGCCTGCAACCAGTGGCCTCCTCCCCTCCCCAACAACAAACCAAACTCTAGATCAAGGGTCAGCAAACTTTATCTGTGAAGGGCCAAACAGTAAATGTGTTAGACTTTTCAGGCCAAGCGGCAAAACTGAGGATATTATGTAGGCACTTACATAATAAAAAAAAAAGAAACTTTTGCAAGTTTTTAACTAGTGAAATTCAAAATGTAATAATTGACAATTTTTACAGTTCTACTAATAAGAATGCATTTTAGGGGTAGAGGGTAACATTCCACAAAATTTGGGCTTGGTTTCATCAAAACTGACTGCAAATATTCATTTATTAATGCTAATTCTGTAATGAGATTTTACGTTATTCATCTTTGAAAATGTCTCTCCACACATATAAAACAAAAAACTAGCTACCATCAAGCCAGAGTCAACTCCAACTCAAGGTGGCCACCATCTGTGTCAGTAGACCTGTGCCCCAAGGGGTTTTCAATGGCTGGTTTTTCAGAAGTAGACTACCAGCCCTTTCTTCCAAGTCACCTCTGGATGGACTCAATCCTCCAAGTTCTTAGTTAATCATCTGCACCACCCAGAGAATGCCAAATGCTGGTATCAGTCCATGAGGATATGATTTTAACTGACCATATTTATTGCTTAGAAGACCTTTATGGAATCCTACTATTGTCTTGACATTGGCCTTTTAATCACTTCCAACTGAAGATTTGGTATAAACTCCTTGGTTACACAGGTAAATGGATTTTGAAATATGGAAATTTCCTTTCCATGCATATTGAGATCCAAAAACTACTACTAAAACCAGTTTACATCTGGAAAATATACCCAAGGTAAACTTGTGTGCTTTGACTTCTGACAGCGTAGGAAGTTTATAAAGCAGCTTGACATGACTTTGACTCAAACAACGTTGTTATCAAAAGGACTGCAATGTAAGGCTTGCATATAAGCGCTATTTTACCGAATTTTAGGTTGAATTCATCAGGAAATATCAAGTCTGCAGCAAGAGCTGATTTCCAAAGCCGTTCAGTGTTCAAAGCTAGTGGTTTGAGGTCAGTTCTTCACGTTCAGAAAAATTTCCATCTCAGCCCTAAGCTCGAAATTTGCAGAAAACTTTACCACTGCTAAGCTATCAAACTGCTGTGTGGTATGGTAAGTAAGGATATTCAGTTTCTATTTCTGACAAATATTCATGGAGCCAATGATGGTTAAGTCCACAAGAGCAATCAAAGATGACTGGTGATACCGGTTCAGTAACTTGTGATAGACTGAAATATTTTCCACAAAGTACCTGCTGCTGAATAACAGAATGAATAACCACAGGCTTTAAACACCTTACATTTACAAGCTTTGCAAATTTGTGCAACTAAATCTTTCTTAGCTCCACACAAATTTTTACCACCGTCCGCTGTAAAGCTGTGTCTTCTTAGAACTTCTTTAGAAATACTCTCACCTGTAGTTGTTCCAATTCATACAGGCTAATCCTCAGTTACTTCAAATCTGGTATTGATGCCACAAAAATAAATAGTAACAGTAACATCTGTTGACTCATCAAGAGCCACGGGAAACCACAAAAAATCATTTGCCTTATTTTTAATTGACTACTGACTTTGCTCCCAATCTTGCCAAAAGGCTGACAATCTTGAACAAGTTTATTTTCTCTGGACATACTTCTTCAGCTGCTGCAATCAACACAATTAACTCAACACTGGTAAATGGCTTTCCTTGCTTGGCTAACAAATGAGCCTCTCAGAAACTTACTTTGGTTGTAGCTTTATTTTCATTTATTTTTGTGAAAAAATTCTGCTGTGATGAGACACTGCCTTTTAAATTTTCTGATTTTTCTGACCGTTGCTTTGCTGGGAGCTGGGCACACTGCGAGGATTGCTCAGTCTGGTCATGCTGATGTGGTCTTTCCGCAAAGCTGTTATGTCACTGAGCAATAAACATGATGCTGTGCCATTTGATAACAAAATAATCCACACGCCACTGTGACTTAAAGGCATGACAATTCCAAGTTCATTTTTCTCCTCGTTTTGAAATGATAGGTATGTGCTGGTAATAAAAATAAAAAGTAAACAAAATGTTGTGGTACACTGATATGCATGGCATTGGAAACACTATCGAGTTCTGTGTCACTGCAATTTCTAGGGCAGCAAGCAGCAATACAAAGTGATGAAGAGTGCCACATGTGGTCTCTGTCGTAATTACTCAACTCTGCGGTTGAAGTACGAAAGCAGTGAATGAGTGAGCATAGCTTCCAATAAAACTTTATTCAGGGAAACTGGAATCTGAATTTCATATAATCTTCACGTCATGAAATATTATTCTTTTCTTTTTCAACCATTAAAAAAACGTAAAAACCATTCTTTGCTCACCGGCCTTACAAAAGCAGGCGGTGGGCTGGATTTGGCACGAAGGTCATAGTTTACGGACCTCTGCTCTAAAGAGCTGGTATTCCCCTACACATCACAACCTCGCCTCACATCACCATACTTTTGATCATATTGTTCCCTTTGTCTGGAACACTTTTCCAGCTTCTTCTCTACCATGAGGAGGTCCCTGGCCCTACCTAGTGGTGTTTATCGCCCCCTCTTCCATGCTCCGATTGCGCCGTGGGAATACAGTCAGTGCAGCCCCTGCCACTGTTGATTTCCACTGCTTTGAATGCAGCCACTTCTATTCATCTTTGTAGCCCTGCACATAGCCAACCCAGAGCACGGGTTCAAGATGTGTCTGCCAAGTAAAAGCAAAAGCATAAAGCGTCCTCGGCGGTGCAAGCTGGTAAACAGCAGTTATCCACAAACCCAGCAAAACACAGAGAAGCAGCTTTAATCTCTGACCTAGATGCTTCTCCTGGCGATTAAGAAGCCGGCACCTTCTCTACCTCCCATCCACAAAATGTCTGCTCAGCCTTGTTCCTCACCCTGGACACTAAAATGTAGCTCTTCAGCCTCACATGAAGAGCATAAAAGCAACAATGAACCAGCGGGATGGCCGGAGCTCAGCTCCGTTATGACTGCAGCTGGGAACATGTGGAGACCACTACAGAGGAAATAAACTCCTTTTTCCATTTCCTCCAAAAACTAAGGGGTATTATGACAACTTAAACCAAAGATATATTAAGTGAAAGAGAACAGTAAAAGTATGTACCTGGATTACAACTAGGTAAACTACATGCACACAGAAAACCTGGAAGGAAAAAATTCAGCCAGTGTTACTGACTTTAGCGGTTTATCTTGCCTTTTCTTTGTTGTAATTATCAATAATTACTTTCAGAATTAAAAAAAAAACTTGTGAGGAAAGAAATCCACACTTGACAGAGAATCTATTCTGATCCAAACTTAAAGGAAAGATACGTGTTGCTAAGCTAGAAGAGTTCCCTTAAGCTAAAAGTGAACTCTGGTGAATCTTTTTGTAAAGTGAGTGACTGAACGTCATCCTGTTTATGACTTGAACAATCTCATTTGGACACATTTAGAGTATGGCCAGATGTGAAGAGAGGCAAACAGGCAAGCCAGTGATGGCCTCTGAGAGCTAAGACAAACCAACGAGGAAAGACAGGGTTGCAAGCCTGGGTTTACTCAGGGTGTGACAAGTCCTAATGTACAGGGACAAGCAAGATGTGAGCCCAGTAAGAAGAGGGACAGGCTGAGCTGACAAAATAAGCTCACTCCGGATGCCCCCCAGCCTGGAGGACATGGCTTGTAGGCTTTATAGCTGGAGGGGCCTGAGGGGCCAACGAGCATCAGGAAGCACCTGCTCCGGGGTCGAGTCAGTGATCACCACTCATGAGCCCTGCACAGCACCTGCAGAGATCGGGCAACCTGATAGATCTGCCCATCCTCCTAATAAACCACCACTGTTCAAGCCCATCTTATAAAAAGGAATTCCATCTTTTTAAATAAATAGATACAAGCCTTATCATGGAAATAGAATCTTAAAACACAGGAAATAGACCTGTTCTTAAATATTCTTTATTGACATCTAACTACGATATGATAAGGTTCTGCAACTAACACCAAAGGAAAGAAAAAAGAAAAGGCACTGTTGAAGATTACATTGTAGTATCCAGAGATCCAAACAACACTTATCTATAATCTATTATTTCACATAACCTTACTAGCTACTTCTTTTCTTCCCCATACATAATTCCTTAAAAGAAATTCAGTCGTAGAGCTCATAGTTTGTGGTTTTATCAAAAATTCATTTTAAGTTTGAGAATAAAATATTTTTTAACTTGGATGAGACTGTTATAAGTGCATACAAACAGTGGATTGAGAGTCCTAAATTTGGCCAAGCGTGTGTGTACGTGTGTAATGTCTTAGTCTGCTGAAAATCTCATTTTTGAAGAACCAGTACTACCAACAGACTCAACGTTAAAAGGACATGCATATATACATTATGTACTGACACCAAACATGACCCAGAAACTGTATAAATTTGTCACAATAACCACACCAGTGGGAGTTATCCAAAATGGCTTTTAAAAAACAAGGTTCAAATAAAACTAAAATTGGTGATCGGCAAACATCTGGATGACTCTGATAAACCGCTCTATAGCGATGGAGATTTGGCATCCAGCTCTTCTGAAGTGATCCTGGGTTAAAACATTCTCTCTGGCAAAAAAAAGCTCAGATAGTCAATATTGTTCAGGCAAACAAAATGTGTCTAGTGAATTTCAGAGTATGTCTGAACCTTTAGGTCAGGCTTTGATCCCCTAACTGGCCTTTGGCCAAAGAGTAGTTAGAATAAACTCTTAGGGCTGGCAGGAACAAAACAACTCTAATGCACAGACACACGTACAAAAACCCCCAGCACAAATGCTACAGACACTTAAGCAAGTAAACAGCTTTAGGGGGTGGGGAGTCACTCACTATCAAATGATTTCAGCCCACTTTTCCTTGGAGCTCACTGGAAAAGATCTGACGCCTGTGAGCTGTCCTGGCCCCAAAAACCAACAAGAGCTACAGATGGTACAGTGTTGGTATGCAACTAGTCCTAGGTGTCCCCAGTTCCTTTTTTTCTGTAATTGTTCCCTTGGCCTAAGGATCCTGGAGTTTGTGAGACTGAGGACAGAACATTCACATAAGGGTCACTCATGTCACTGATAATAAAGAATATGTGAGGAATACTAAAAGCCTGGTTCATTTCCCCCCAAATTAGGTAATACCTTGACTTTACTCAAAATTTACCCGTAGTCACTATAGCACAGCTGCCTTGGAAAACCTCTATTTTACGAAGAATTTAGTATATCCACTGTTTCTGTACAACAAAGCATTTGGCACTGTAAGAGCAGATCCACTTGGGACACAAATCTATCATATAAGATACTGACACTTTGATGGAGGCTATACAAAGAATGGAGACTGAAGTAACATGTGCTCTGTGGACCGTGCTCTGAAGACAACACTGACCCACGTGTGCCCTATGAACTGAAGAATGTTTTAGTGTGGATGCCGCTAAAAAAGGCATTTGACTAACGCTGCTGAAGGAGGTAGCAGTGCAACTGAAAACAGTGACTTGGGCCTTGTTCAAATATTGATGAGAATAATACTTTGGGCAAATCAGCACTTCACATACAGTAACTCATCTAATCCTCATAACAACCGATGAAACAGGTACTGTTGGTGTCCTTGGGAAACTTACACACAAAAAGCTAAGCTACTCACTTCCCCAAGGTCACACAGCTAATAAGTGGCAGAGCTAGGCGTCAAACTTAGACAATCTGGTCCTCGAGTCAGCGCTCTTAACCTCCATGCTGACTCTTAACTAAGCTTTTCTTAAGCTAAGGAAAGACAAAAGTAGTAACAACTAAGCATAGTGGCTCTCTACAAGTTGTCTCAGTCTGTCAGGGAGACGTCTGGACAAGCCACAATTAAAACACCATATAAGAAGTTACTAAAACAAAAACAGAAGAGCTACATTTTAACATACTCTACTGGATACTTAATATTTATGTATTCATGATGAAGTACTTAGTTCAACAGTAAAATTTAGCTACTTTGTTTTTAATAAGAAAAAATACCAGTACTGGTGTCTGGTTATGTTTGGCTAGGTTTGATTCACACAAATCTTAAAGTGACAGGCCACCAAATGCCTGGCACCTCTTAGCAGTAAAAGTGACATCAAGAAGATCTAGTAATGTTCTTACCAAAATTAATAAAAACTATTACTTAAAACTCCAAGTCATAAAACACCATGCCAAAGGTTTTTATCAACCTCTTCTTCTCTGAACCTGCCCTTCAGTGGGGGTAGTTTTGTGAGTAAGCTAAAATTTCAGAGGAAGCAAAAACACAGGCCTTCCCCTCCTCACTGACATCATTCTGTTAGGACTTATGGTGGCCATATGGTGTTTCAAATACTAATAGGAAACAAATGAGTCAGTTTATGAACACATAACGCAAACTGTGATATAAAGAATCAGGGAAGGGAGAAACATTTCAGCAAGCTCAGGTATGACCCGAGGATACCGTCCCAGGCCTTAGCATCTTCTTTACTCCCTAAGTACACTGAGCCACCAACAGGAAAAAGGTCACCTCAAAGAGAATGCCATGAGATTTTAAGTTGCTAGACTCCTTTCCATCTTCTCCTTCTCCTCAGCTCTTGATACTACTGTCAAACTCTACACACTGGCAAAGAAAAAAGGGGTGAAAGTTGAGGGATTTTATAGAGGAATAAGAGTTTGTTGCCATTATTTGAACTAAAATATTATAGCCTTTGACATCACCTTAAATGTCTAAAACACATGGTCTGTTCTTAAAGAAATGCCCATGTGAACCTTAAAATCATCACAATACGTGAAGAATGGAATCTATTACATTTTAGCAGGACAGCATCCTTCCCTCCCACCTCCCACCCACCCAAGGATGTAAATATAATTCATTTTATAAATACACTGGGAAAGATCTGCTTGTTCCTTTTAAATTCAGAGACAATTTAGAATACAACTACCAACAACTTGGAGTCTCAAACCTGCTGTGAGTGAGCACTTGTTATCTCAAAAGCATCTCCACAGACTTGTAACATGGGTGCATTCACCTAGAATGGCTACACAGAGCTAAGCCATTGAGAAGGCTGGGAAAAGGACACCAAGGAGCTTTGCACAAACTGTTAGGTGTTGCCATACTGAACCCAGGCTGCTAAGCCCTGGGTATCTCCAGAGGTCTCTAGTACTAGGGGCTCATATGTACTTTTTTTAACTGAGATACACCTCACAGAACATAGCATTTGTCATTTTAGAGTGTACACTGCAGTGGGTTTTAGTACATAGTCACTATGTTGTGCAACCATCACCACTATCTAATTCCAGAACACTTCCATCACCCCAAAAAGAAACCCCATACCTATTATCATATCATCAATTTTATCCAACCTTTCTCCACAGATATCTCTGTTGTCCAGGCAGTTATTTCAAGATGGCTGGCTTGGGGTCAATCTGTAGAGTATCTATACAGTAAGAAAACAAGACAGCTACATTGTCCAGAAGGAGACTGAGCCCAAATTCTTGGCATTTTTAGCAATTAGGCTAATGCAATCTTTATATACTAAGAATGGCAGAGAAACTTACATTCAACATCCATCTTCAGAGAACACATTAGTGTGCCCCAAATTCATCCAAGATGTTAAAAGAAGGGAAGACAATCTACTAGGATTAGCCATTAACTGTCCATAGTTGCAATTTCAAAATTTGGAAGATGCATATGGATAGTAGGAAAACTTTCTTTAGCATCAAGAATAGCTGGATTAACGAAGAGAAAAAAATAAAAACACAACAAAACAAAAAATTTCATCAAATATTGCCCAGTTTGGGGAACTAATCACTAGATCAATCCACTATTTAAAGTACTGTAGCTTTCAGTGCAACCTTACTTCCATCACTCTTCAGATCTGGAGTCTCTCCTAATGAGAAAAACGATCTTTAGGCAAAGTTCTGGCAGGACAGGCTGCAGGTGTGCGTTGCTCAGGCTATGGTAGGGCTCTAATGACCTAAGTGTGCTCACAGCTTCCAAGACACACAGGAAGGAGGCCTCACCTTCAGGCATCAGGGTGTTGAAAGCGGGAGGAAGTAGGTCCATGAGGGTGTCTTGCTTTTGTGCACTTATTTGGGGTGCTATTTCCAGAAAAGGAGCTCCTTTACAGAGTGTGCCCAAGATGGATTTCTCTAAGTTGCTCTCAAGAGTTGTCCAGCTGCCCTCACCAATAAATCACAGTCTCTGTAGGTTGATAGAAACCATCAAAGCAGATGCATACGGGTTGTGGGGAAGCCTTCTTTAGTATCTAACATAGCTGGATTAAAACAAAAAAACTTAACCATTAAGCAAATCTTGACTTTAACCATTAATTTAGATTATAGCAAAAATCAACTAGGTGCCAAGCTGAAGAATCTACCCTTAGCACGGGCACTTAACATTTATTAATGGCCATTTTGTGGGCTTGATTGAAAGCCACAATGAGCTCTTAATTTTTGTCCTGGAAGAAAATTAGCTTTACTTAATAAACAAGTAAATAAGATGCTGAAATGTTTGTTGGTAATTTAACTCATTCTCACTGAGGTTGTCAGGTAACGCTTCCAGTGACTTATTGTGCGACAAGTTGTACTCTAACAATGTATTTACAATTTTATTGCAATTTGCAATAATAATCTAAATACATGTTCATTTTCCAGATTTTCCAAAACACAATCAGATGCAATCAAGTAAAGTTCATGACATTTATATAAGTTATAAACAAATTTGCTTCAAAATAGTTATCTGTGGAAGTACTGCTGTGTTATCCTTGTTTAAAGATTCCCAGGAAACAGTCTTAAACTAAAACGACACCTGGGTAAATGAGGCTATAAACAGCATTATACCATAAATCTACCAAGGAAGACAACTGATTTCCCACTTACAGGAAATTACCCAGCAGCCAGAAAACTCCAACAAACCCTTACTAAACTAAAATTTCATTTTATTTTAAGACTCGGGCATTAAGAAGTCTGAGAATCAACTGCAATTGAAGGAATTTTAAAATGACGTAATGTCTATGGTATAGGGTTTCCAAGGAGCGGCTGGTGGATTCAAACTACTGACCTTTTGGTTAGTAGCTGAGCTCTTAACCACTGCGCCACCAGGGCTCCATACTTGCTCTTAGGGGGTCAAAATAATAAGGTCAGAAACCTGGATGTTTTGGACGGCAGTTTTTTGTGGCATTTCAACTATAAACTTTTTTTTTTAATTGTACTCCAGGTGAAGGTTTACAGAACAAATAGGTTCTCATTAAACAGTAGTACACATAGTTTTATGACATTGGTTAACAACCCCACAACATGTCAACCCTCTCCCTTCTCAACCTTTTTTGTTTTTTTTGGTGAAAATATACATAGCCAAAGATACACCATTTCAAAAATTTCTACATGCACAGTTCAGTAACAGTGACTATGCTCTTCTAATTGTGCTGCTATTCTCACTTTAGATGAAGGTTTACAGAACAAAATAGTTTCTCATTAAACAGTACACATGTTGCCGTATGACAATGGTTAACAACCTCACAACACATCAACACTGTCCTTACTCAACCTGGGGTTCCGTATCACCAGCTTTCCTGTCCCCTTCTGCCTTCTAGCCCTTGTCCCTGGACTACTGTGCTTCATTAGTCCCAGTTTGTTTTATGGGGCTGTCCAATCCCCAGCTGAACGGTGAATCTCAGAAGTGCCTTCACCACTGAGCTAAAAGGGTGTCTGGGGGCTATACTCTCGGGGTTTCTCCAGTCTCCTTTAGGCCAGTAAATCTGGTCTTTTTTGTGTGTGTTAGAATTTTGTTCTACATCCTTCTCCAGCTCTGTCCAGAACCCTCTGTTGTGATCCCGGTCAGAGCAGTCAGTGGTGGTAGCCGGGCACCATCTAGCTGTACTGGACTCAGTCTGGTGGAGGCCTTGGTAGCTGTGGTCCATTAGTTCTCTGAACGAATCTTTTCCTTGTATCCTGTTCTCTTCATTCTCCCTTGCTCCCGAAGGTCAACTATAAACTTTTAATAATAATTGTTATGCAGTAAACAGTCCAAAGTTAGCTAAACTTGTAGATACATTTCTAGACGTGATTGCTCCAAAATTTATCATTCTTAACGTGACTTTATTAAAGTCCTCTACTATACAAGATGGACCTATTCTGAACAGAACTATATTAAATTTAGTCTTTGTCATATAAAAAGACAAGAGGAGGTCATACGGCTCTTGTATTGGAAGAGTATTAATGCATGCATGTTATTATCTTACTAAGTGCTAACCAAATACTTGGAGCTGTAAAACAGACGAATTCAGACATAAATGAGTGTTTTGTAAGAAGGTTGTATTCCTCAGGCCTAGCTCAAGTGCCTGCCACACCAATTTGCTTCAAGAAAATTAAGGTTCCTTTAAAGCATGGTAATTCAAGGGTTTAGGAAAAAAATGCCAGTTAAATAATTATCCTTTAAACTGTGTTACGAAGAATCCTCTTGTTTTAGGAAAAGGAAGGCTCAAACTCTAGGATTTTAGTTGTGGCACAAGAATAAAGGGCAAGAAAGCAAGCATCTGGGAAGGCAACTTTTGCTGTTGGTGGATTCAACTCTGTTTTCTAAGACTGTTTGCCATTATAATCAGTAAGAATCAATTTTTAAGACAAGTTTCTTCTGGATTATTGTATGGACTACAGCATATCACAGTCTCAAATAATAGCAGCTATAAAAATACACAAACTTAATGTAATTAATGTATAAGAAAGTCTAAAAGATAAACTTTTATGACAGGTTAAAAAAACAAACATTTTTAAAATGGGTGTAAATCTGTATTCGACAATGGGATCAATGCAATATATATAGGCCATGTGCAGATTAGAACAAATTCTGGAAACTCCTGCTGCAAAGGAGGATGAAAACATGCTAAGCAGCTCAAAATTCTATTGAAATTGAAATAAAAATCAAAACGTTCCTGCTCCCCAATCCCCAACAACAAATGGGTTCACCTAAAAAAAAAAAAAAATCAGAGCCACTAAGTGTACTCGTGCCATCGTCAGTGTCCTCATGCTCCTTGCTCCCCAGACTGGGGATGGACATTTTCCAGATCACCACAGCTTCTGAACTCCCTTAAATCTACTAAGGAAGACAACTAATTCCTAGCTCTGATTTTTGGACACAAAGACATTAAAAACAAAAAAATACAAATTAACAGATAGAAAACATAGAGGCTGGAGCACCTCCAACCACTCATCAAGCCTGGGCATTTCATCTACTCCTGTTGCTTTACTAAGACCTCAGGAATGGAAAGAGATTTTAAACAAATGAACATCAGGAGAACAGAGACTCAGGTATTGACATTTACACAGCTGTTGACTTGCTCCAGCTGTCAATTCCAAAATGATCAGAAAGCCTGTCCAATACAGACTCCGTAGTATACTCAGAAACAACACAACATAGAGTCACATCAGAAACACAAGTTGCTAAAACCAAGACTCACGTAACTCCAAATGTTATAGGTATTTTATTGAAAAACCTGCAACCTTTCCAAATCGAGATTACACAGCTGCTGCATGACATCATTCGACTGATCAGGTAAGACCATCTCACCAAAACCAACAGACGTGCAGAAAGAATTCCGAAAGAAAGGGCCAGCAAAGCAATGGCCACATTAACAAGTGCTTTAGTTAACATAGTCAGACCCGCAGTCAACGAAAAGCCGCAATGATTTCACCCAATAGCAGAAAATCCCACAAAGAAACCAATGCAGTTCCTACACCCAATGTTCCTCAACTCCAGAATGGTTTTCCAATTGGTCTTACTCTTGTATGTGAGTAACAAACAAGAGCTCCTCCTGCTTACTACTTTAGTTCTTTCTACTCGAACAGATGCTTCCTGTCCTTGGTTCACCAGGTAGCATCACGGTGGGGCTCTTAAGGGTTGTCCAACCCTCTACATTCCAAAATCTCCAGCAAGTCTGAGATACAGTTGGGGATCCTTCTAAATATGCACATCACTCGGGAGCCCGTAGGGATGAGATGCACTCAAAGGGCATCAGGGAAGATGGAAAAGAACATTTTACTTAACAAGAAGGTCCGCCTCTTTTTCATTTCGCTTTCTCCCAAAACACCTAGCCCTCGGGAGTTGCGCAATGTGCCTTGAAAAGAAATTTAAAAAAAGAAGGACCTACACTTAAAACAAGCAGATTCCCCCAGGAAGAGGTTTTCCATCTTTCTGGACTCTGGTAGTGTCAGCATTTGAAGCTCCCTCTGATGCCACACTTCAGTGGGCCTGCGGACACACTGGGACCCCATCACCCTCGGGGCCCCTGACTCAGGCTGGGTCAGCTCAGTCCCAACGGGACCCGTCATGAGCGTACATCGACATGATTCCGTCTTTGCATGTTTATCTAGAACAACTGTTAAAAGGAATTCAAGCAGGGCTGGCCTCCGTAGACAACATTCGGGCCTTCTGGGCACAAAAGGCCTCCTGTACACATTACACGGTGTCTCCTGACAGGATTTCTCGCTACCCGTCACTCATAGGCGGCTCTAGGGCTGGCAGCTATGGAACTCATCTTGGTCGTGTCTTGGACTTCACATCGCCCCTAAAGTGCCTGGTACTGTGGTTTTATGGTCTGAGGAACAGTTAGGCCTCGAAGGCCTGGCCTAAGATGTGTGCGCTCCACATCCCGAGCTCCCGCCTTCCCTAGTCAGCCGCTGGGACCGAGTTTCCCGCCCCACAGCCCGACCAGACGTTGGTAGCAGTTAGAGGCGGTTGGGACCGGCCCCAGCAGGTTGGAACCGGTCTGGGCCGGGCCGGAGGAGGAAGGGGGGAGGGAGAGGCCGCCTCGCGCTCTCCCTGCGCGCGTGACTCACGCTGGCCGCTGACGTCAGGCGTGCGCGCGCGGCGGGGGGGGGCTCTACGTACGTGTAGTGCTGCGGTTTCTCGGGCTGTGCCTGCAGCACCTGAGCGGTAGCGGCCGGGGGCGCCGAGGAAGCTGCGGAGCCGCCGGGCCCGGGGCCCTTCGACATGGTCCTGTCTTCCTGCCTCTTCGCCGCTCCCCTTTTATTATTCAGTCTGCGCGGTCCGCGCCGAGGACCCAGTGCGCTTGCGCTGCGCCACGAGAACGTGAAGACCCCCCGCACCGCAGCAAGGGCTGCTGGGAGTTGTGGTTCTCCGTTCAGCTGGAATTTTACCGTCGGTAGAGGGTTGCTGCCAAAGGAAGGAACCACAATACCCAAGGATCCTTGCGGACGGTGCCCCGGATGCTCAGGGTCCGCGACGGCTTCTGGGGATTGCAGTCCTACCGCGTCTTCTTGCCGGCGCATTTCCAGTTTCATAGGGAATCCTTTCCTTGAAACTGGAGCTCGTGAACTAGAAGGCGGCTTATAGCTAGAGAGGCCCTAACGATTTCGGTGAAACATTACCGAGTTTCCATGCTTGGTACAGCGTGGCTGTTCTAACGACGGCTCAGAGCAGTGCTCCGAGCCATAAAAGACCCTTTATTATCCCTTCTTAGCTCTGGGCTTTTGTTTGTGCTGCAGGCACCTGGAGTACGCCCACGTTCTCCTTATCCCGGCAGCGGTACTACCCGAGACGCATGAAGGAAACTCGGGCCTGCTGGAAGTCAGCTTGAGAAGGCTTTGCTGAAGAAGAGCTACAGTATAATACGTTCCCAAGCCTTCGCTGAGGCGCTCCTTGAGCCTTTGTTATTGTTGGGTGTTGGCCAGTCGATTTTCCACTCATAGCGACCTCATGTGACAGAGTAGAACTCCGCCACAGGGTTTTATAGCCTGTAATTTTTATGGGACGAGGTCTGGTGGTGCAGTGGTTAAAGCTGCTAACAAGAAAGTCGGAGGTTGGAACCCACCGGCTGCTCTGCAGGAGAAAGATGTGGCAGTCGGCTTTAATAAAGATTTGCAGCCTTGGAAACCGGTTAGGGCAGTTCTGCTCTGTCCTGTAGGGTCTCTATGGGTCCGACTTCACCTGATAACCGTGGAGTTTTGTTAATTTTTGTGGAAGCAGATCACCAAGTCTTTCTCCCGAGGAGCTGCTGGGTGGGTTCAAACTGCTAACCTTTTGATTAGCAGCTGAGCGCGTAACCGTTGCGCCACCAGGTCTCGTCCATAAACCTTTACTAACCCTGAAACCTGGAACTCCAAGACTTGGGTCCCGTCTCAACTTGACACCTGGCCTGACAAACTTGTTTCCAGTATCTTTAGGGGCCAAGGACGAATTTAATCTGCGTCTAGGATAGTCTCAGGTACACCGGCACATTGCAAGGGTGTTGCGAAGCCTTACAGTAATGTCCTTAGGAAAGCTCTGGGTTTGACTAGAAGGTGCAACTTAATACACTCCAGTTTCTTTCTCTGGACACCAGCCTCTTTGTGAAAAGAATATGCCTCCCCCGTCAGGCGAATTCTTCCCTTTGTCGCCTTTGTAACATAAGCCAGTTGCCCCAGACTTAGGCATTTGATTCTGTGAGCCTTCGAAAGCTCTTTTATATTTTAATATGTCGTTTTACTTTGTTTTTCATATTGAATCTATTTCAAATACATTGCTTTTAAGACTGACTTATAAAACATTTTATTAGAGAGGATTATGTTAACTAATGATTGTCTCATTGAAGAAGGACACTCCCAATAACCCTAGGGAGTGAGGGAGGGTGGAGTGAATGGGAAATTGTTAGTGTTTAAAAATGACACATACTTATTTAGTTCCACATCAGAAGCCAAATTGTCAGCCTATAAAGTTGAGAAACTGGTATTTCTTAAACAGGCCAAATCAATTGTTTAGCCAGTAGGGTGTTTGAAGATGAAGAATTCCAAAAGGTCAAGTAAAAGTTGCAATGTATTGCTTCAGTCCTGTTAAGTGCAAGTGGTTGATTTATACGCTGTAAAAAATGGCGCTGGGCATCAGACCTCCTTGTCTAACTTCACAAGGGCAAGGAGAGAGAATCACCATCATCATCAGCCCAAGGCTGACTCCTATGAAGTGGAGGTCAGACATACCTCTTCTCTCCAATCTTTTTACCAATTCTGACACCAACCGTTCCTCCCACTGTGCTCTCTACTCTGCTGGGTTCAATAATTCGTTGCAATGGCCACACAGACAATACTCACAGTTAAGTGGTTCATTGGGGAAGTAACAGGTTGCAAGAATCAGGAAGCATGTAGGCAAAGTCCCCTTTCTTCAGTGCAGGACAGTTCTCTCAGCTCCTGTCAGCTGTGCAGGCCTCCTTTCAGCCCCCTGAGGACAGGCCTCCTCCCTCAACCCTTAGGCCCCCCTCCCTTGGGTCTGGCCCCTGCCCTGCTCTGGCAAGTGTTACAGAGGTCTTTAGTTTTGCCAGTAAGTGCCCAGAGGCACCTCACTCCGCCAGGAAGCCTCCTGCCCAAAGGCACTCAGCTCTCTCACTCTGAGTCGGCATGCCTACTGTGGCCAGGAAGCCCCGTGTGCCTTCTCTTGCCGGTCTCCCAGTTCTGCTGCCACCGTTTCTTTGATGATGCTTCTTGCCATCTTGTGCCATCTCCAGTGTTACAGCTTTCTCCTGGGTCTAGGAGGTTCTCACCACCGGGACACCAGATCCAAAGGACACGCTCTGCTTCCAGCTCTACTTTCCTGATGGTAGTGAGGTCCCCCCTCTGCTCTGGGTTTGGCTGTCTTTCAAGCCAGTGCAAAATTGACCAATCCCGTCATTAGCGTTCCATACACCTTATTTGCGTGGTCCCACCCCCAACACCCACCCCACACACACAGGGGTTCCATGCACCTTATTTGCATTCTTAGCAGGCTGTTCAATCTTCTTGGTGGGCCACAAAAACCTTATTTGCATAGTTCCACCGAATCATTTTTGTGGAAGTTAGAAGAATATGCATGGTTAAAAGGGCCATGTTAAGTAACTTACTGCACCGTATATGTTATCCCCAAAATACCTGAGTGTGATTTGACTGAAGAAAAATAGTTCACAGAGTTAGATTTTAAATAATGGATATATACCATGAAAGTGGAGCTTCGGCTGCTAGCCAAAAGCTTGGCGGTTTGAACCCACCAGCCGATTTCTGGGAGAAAGATGTGGAAGTCTGCTTCTGTAAAAATTTACAGACTTGAAAACCCTACGGGGGCAGTTCTGTTCTGTTCTATAGGGTCCCTATGAGTTGGAATCAACTCGACGCAATGGGTGGGTGACCACGAACTTCAGAATAAGTGTGTACTGGTAGAATTGTGTGATATCATCCAAACTGCTTAATTTATAAAAGAGGAAACAGAAACCCAGAGAGGTTAAGTAACTTGCTTGAAGTTACTCAGCAAGTCAGTGACAGAACAGGAACCAGGACAGAAGTCTACGCACTGCATCACATAATATTGTTTACATAGACATTTCCAGTTCTTCCCCATTTACTGGGTTGTTTTTCCTCCCCCGCTCAACTTAGGAAAAACAACAAACTTACCTGTATAACTACCAAGTAAGAGGGACAAACTATTTCTTTAAATGGCTGCTTGGCATCATATTGTAAATTCACACCTTGTTTCTCCAGGAGCAGTTTTAGTTCTTCCCTAGTAATTACCAGCACTGGGAAAAAGGTAACTGGACCGTCCCTGCATTGGAGGCATAAAAATGACAAGGTTCTGGTCTCCAAGAAAAACTGTGGAACTTTAACTTAGGGATCCCTTCTTCCTCCTGGTCCCTCAGCAGTCACGGGAAGATGACAATGTATCACTGGGTACATCCCAGGGTATTTGACAGCCTCCTATTTGAGTTCCAAACAACCCCCTCCTCTTAGCTTTACACAGGCTCTGAGAACCTCCATCTTGGCTTCTCTTCTGGATACGGCTATGAAATAGTAAGCTTTTCTTGTCTCTACCCCAAACTTCCAGCAGAAGGTAGAAATTAAAGTTGATTAAATTGTCACATGAAAGTTTTGGTATATGAAAATGAGAGGAATTGGGTACCAGAGATTGGACCAACGGTGTTTCTGCGCAGGGCTTCGAACGGATTCCTTCAGGTTCCAACCCCTGATGATAATTTGCATTTGTAACAAGTTCCCAGGAAATGATACATACTGATCACCTGGGGATCTTGTTAAACTGTAGATTCTGATTCAGTACATCTGGGTGGAAACACAAGTTTTCAGTAGGGAACTTGTTAGAAATGCAAATTCTCAGCAGGGGTTCGAATTGGAATGAAAGGTTCAAAGCCCTGTTTCTGCCATAGCTGCTTTCTCAAGTTGTAAATTTCCTTCACTATTGATACGGACGCAAGACCTTTGATGTGGCAAGTAAATATTGAAGTATTTGTACTTACGTGCAGTAATTCTCTAAGTTGACATGTATATGTGCCTGGTTCTGCTACTTTTTATTTAAATAATGTAAAATAATCGGTGAACCCCAAATAGAATCTATGGAGTAGAATGCCCAAGGCTCTGTTTCAATTTTCTGGGCTTTGCTTGGCTGTTCTTAACCTTAAGCCCGCTTTGGTATTTTCTATATCTGAGTCATCTGGAAGACTGAGTATTGCAATCCATGTAAGATATTTATTTAGGCGAAGGTAGGGATTAGCATTTTATACGTTTGCCATGTTTCTTCAGAAGTAATACCTGCCAAGACATACCATTAAACACAAGGACATGTATTTAATTTAGCTATCTTTCATTTATTCCTTATATGCATGTAAATACTATAAGAACTATTTCCTTTTTGCCTAGTAATTTCATTCAGTTAAATTACATAATTAGAAAAATGCAGTGTGTCGCTTAGCAGGTTACTTCTTGTTTAACTCCAGGGGTACTGGGATCACAAAGTATTTTGCGACATAGTCTAAAAACATATCAAACAGTACTTGTAAACTCAATTACAAATCAGGAAAGGTGTACGTCAGGGTTGTATCCTTTCACCATACTTATTCAATCTGTATGCTGAGCAAATAATCTAAGAAGTGGGCTATACAAGAAGAATTTGGCATCAGGATTGGAGGAAGACTCATTAACAACCTGCAATATGCAGATGACACAAACTTGCTTGCTGAAAGTAAAGAGGACTTGAAGCATTTACTGATGAAGATCAAAGACTACAGTCTCAGTATGGATTACACCTCTACATAAAGAAAAAAAAATCCTCACAACTGGACTAATCAACATCATGATAAACAGAGAAAATATTGAAGTTGTCATTTTACTTGTATCCACAAATAACACCCATGGATTTTATTTTACTTTATCCACAAATAACACCCATGGACACAGCAGTCAAGAAATCAAATGACATATTGTATTGGGCAAATCTGGTGCAAAAGACCTCTTTAAAGTGCTAAAAAGCAAAGATGTCACTTTGAGGACTAAGGTGTGCCTGACCCAAGCCATGGTATTTTCAGTCGCCTCGTACGCATGTGAAAGCTGGGCAATAAATAAGGAAGACTGAAGAAGAATTGGTAGCTTTGAATCATGGTGTTGGCGAAGAATATTGGATATACCATGGGTCGCCAGAAGAATGAACAAATCTGTCTTGGAAGAAGTGTAGCCAGAAAGCTCCTTAGAAGGGAGGATGGTGAGACTTCGTATTACATACTTTGGACGTGTTATCTGGAGGGATTAAAAGTCCCTAGAGAAGGACATCATGCTTAGTAGAGTAGAGGGTCATCGAAAAAGAGGAAGACCCTCAAAGAGATGGATTGATAGAGTGGCTGCAACAATGGGTTCAAACATAGCAACGATTGTGAAGATGGCACAGGATCGGGCAGTGTTTCGTTCTGTTGTACATAGGTTTGCTGTGAGTCAGAACTGACTCAATGGAGATGGGTTTTGTTTTTGGCTATTTAACAACAACAACAACAAAACGTCAATTATTGACATTAATTTCTTTGTATCTATTATTTACCCCCTCGCTCCATCACTAAAATAACTGCTTTTTGGTTAAAATGCATACGTTGTTGTTGTTGTTAGGTACCCTATACGTGATACATAAAATACTTCATAATAATAACATGATTTACTGAATTCTAATGCTTTATACTGCGAATTTAACTAAAAAATGTTATCAAAGTAAACAATCAGGGAACACATTTTATTTTACATTGGAAAATATTTACAAAAAATTTTGTTAAAATACCCTGTCATTCTCCTGTATTGTATTAGCTTGATGCCAATAAGCTTAGACTCTGCCCTACCAGACTCAAAGTCTTGCTTGGGACCAATGCAATTCATTTGCATTGACTTTCTATTGTAGAGCTTTGGAACCAAGGGAAGGATCCAAACATAGCTCCATTTTATCCAATCAGAGGAGCCTCTTAGTGCTAAACTCTGGTTCGTCCATTTCTGTTTGCATCCATCCAATCATCAGGCCACTTTAACAGCCAATCAGCGATCTAGATACCTACCAATCAGGGAACAGGGCAGAAGCACGGCCTTTGTGTCGGGGGATGTCAGCGCGTCGTCGAAAGCGCCCGCCAATAGAAAAAGTCGTTGGTGTATGCAAATGAGGGCCCTATGACGCAGAGACGCAGCGTGAAGCGTGGGTATAAAAATAGAGGCGTCGGGGGGGCTGGTAGAGCAGAGTGGTTTAGTCGTTTGTTGGGGAAGTGTTATCTGCTTGCTGGGCGACTGCGGCTCTCCTTCGGGCCACCAGAAGCGGCGCGGCGGTCTGTGAAGTGGCCTAAGACTTCGGCGTTTGGTAGGCTTTCGCGAGGCATGCCGTGACCCGAGGCCCCGTCAGCCGTTGATGCCGCGGACCGCGGCCGTTGGGAACCGAGTGACGGGTGGAGGGGGTTGCTCGCCCACTGGCGTCGGGTGTGGACGGGACGGTTCCTTCTTAGGGCTTCAGGCCGTCCTGCGCTTCTACTCTTGGCCGGGTGGTGATGCCGCGGTCCCGGCGCCGGATTCCGGGCACCCGGGCTCCGCCCGTCGAGGAAGGGAAGTGACTCCTCCCTGCTCTCCTTCTCCCGGGGGAGGCTGCTGCTTCGCGCAGCCTGAGTCATTAGGGGAATGGGGGAGGCGCCTCGGCCATCTGCCGCCGCAAGGTGGGGTGCAAGGGGGCGGGCGGGGCCGGTGGAGGCCGGTACTCAATTCGGCAGGGGCGCGGGGTCGGGCTTGGCCCCCTGCGGCTCCGGCAGCGAGCGGGCGGGGGCCAGGCTGGAGGAGCGCGCGGCTTCACAGTCGGGATTCTGTCCTCAGGTGAAAAATGGCCCGAACCAAGCAGACTGCGCGTAAATCCACCGGGGGGAAAGCCCCCCGCAAACAGCTGGCCACCAAAGCTGCCAGAAAGAGCGCTCCCTCTACCGGCGGGGTGAAGAAACCTCACCGTTACAGGTAGGCAGAACGGGGAGAAAACAATGGTTTGGCGGTCGTTCGGCATTGTTCGGTAACTGTTCGGGACTGGACCGGGATTGCCGATCGGCGCCCATTAACACGCCCCTTCGCTCGCTCCAGACCCGGAACCGTGGCGCTTCGAGAGATTCGCCGTTATCAGAAATCGACCGAGCTTCTGATCCGGAAGTTGCCTTTCCAGAGGTTGGTGAGGGAGATCGCCCAGGATTTCAAAACAGACTTGAGGTTTCAGAGTGCGGCCATCGGCGCCCTGCAGGTAAGGCAGAAAGACGGCTTTGTGTAAGGGAGGAGGGCTGCCTGTGCTTGGTGTTTTGGGCAGAGTTTAATTGTGCGGCTCTTGTCCTCAACAGGAGGCTAGTGAAGCGTACCTGGTTGGGTTATTTGAAGACACTAATCTGTGTGCCATCCACGCCAAGAGAGTCACCATCATGCCCAAAGACATCCAGTTGGCTCGCCGGATACGGGGGGAGAGAGCTTAAGTGGAAGGCAGTTTTTATGGTGTTTTGTAGTAAATTCTGTAAAATACTTCGGTTTAATTTGTGAGTTTTTTTGTAAGAAATTGTTTATAATATGTTGCGTTTGTACTTAAGTCATTCCATCTTTCACTCAGGATGAATGCGAAAAGTGACTGTTCACAGACCTCAGTGATGTGGGCACTGTTGCTCAGGAGTGACAAGTTGCTGATCTGCAGAAGGGATGGGTGATACTTCTTGCTTCTCATGATGCATGTGTTTCTGTATGTTAATGACTTGTTGGGTAGCTATTAAGGTACTAGAATTGATAAATGTGTACAGGGTCCTTTTGCAATAAAACTGGTTATGACTTGATCCAAGTGTTTAACAATTGGGGCTGTTAAGTCTGACCATACATCACTGTGATAGAATGTGGGCTTTTTCAAGGGTGAAGATACAAGTCTTAACCACGGTGTAATTTACAGTTTCCTAAAAAAAAGAAAAAAGAAAAAAAAGTAAACCTGGCAGCTATAGAATACACTATGTGCATTTATAATAGCTATTTTATATATTGTAGTGTCAACATTTTTAAATTAAATGTTTTACATTCACATGTGGTGGGGAGTCTTGTCATTAAGATGTGTGTAATTTAGAGTCCAGTTGGTTTGCCTCTCACTAGACTTACACTTGTTTTCATAGTAGTGAAATGCTATGCCTCATTGTACCTTGCATAAGTCCTCATTCTACCACATGTTAAACCTCTAGTTGATAATACAGACGCTGATGGGGAATTTTATTTATAAGGGCTCTAGAATATATAATACCAGTTATTCACACCAGCATCATCTGTTAGTAATCTCCAGAACTAGTTAGTGCAGCTTTTTGTTGTGTTGTCATAAGTAGGTTGTTTTTCTCCTCCACTAAGAGGAGCCAATGCTGAAATGCTTTTCCTTGTGGAGTTTGTGTTGTAACTTTTAGTGTAAACTTGCTGTGGGGGAGGGGCATGTAGGTCCAGCTTATTGAGCCTCTGCCAATTAAGGTGGTGTTGCCATAAGTTGCATCTGGTATACTGTCCTGGGAAAAAAATCACTTAACAGAGGTGGCCTTCCAAGTGGTTTTAAAACTTATCCTTCTATTGAAGTTTTTAGGTTAATTATGTATGTTGACTAAATTTACCAATAAACTTGTTTATCTAATTGTGAAAAACCTAAATTGAATGTATAGAGCTTTAATTCATCCATTACTTAGGCTTTTTGTATTCTAAAATTTGAGCTTTTATAGTTTAGCTTTTGGTTGGTAGATAAAGGAAATTTTCGTTATAAAAGTAATTGTAGAAAGCATGCAAGCTAATCTCCTTAGTCATTTTCTGATTTATAAAAATGTTATAATTGCCATGTTTGGAATGTGGACTTAGGACAGAGTTTATCAATAGGCTTCCCCCCCCCCCCCATATTGTCAAGGAATAAAATACTTCGATTGTATTCAAGGTACAACACAGACCAAGAGGGAAATACTTATAAAATTCTAGAACTCAAATTTTGCATTTTGTTCCATGAATCTTTTGAGCCAGGTGTATAGAAACGTACACAGCAAGGTAGGCTAACACAAGTCCACAGGCATGGAATTCATTGTTGGGCTAAGACACCATTTCACTACAAAACTATTTCTCTGGACCAGTGATGGCTTCCAGTGAAGCATTGTGAATGTTAGCAAGACATGGGCACAAGAGCAACCAGTCTCAGAAAAACTAGAAGTTTTTGCCTTGTTAAAATAACTAAGAAAAAACTGGATTAGTTTGAAATTTAGGAGCTTGTTCAGAGGAAGGCGTGCTAGAGTTTTGAAGTCGAGTGTTTGGTGTCTTTTTAGCTTGAGTCTTAGAGGTGTCAAAGGTGGTGTTCATTATAATATAAAGCAATGGTTTTCTAGAAGATCTTAACTAGGCTCTGGAACAAATGCCTAATCTTAGTTTTGTCACATTGTGTTTCTGAATGAGATAACCTAGATGCTGGAATGTGCTGTGCTCTAGAGTGTCTAGTGGTGTCCCAAGTACACAAGTGGACACAAACTTAAGAGATGGTGATGGGTTAGCTTGTTAGGACTACTTGTGATAAACCAAATGGGTGGCACTGTTGAGCTTTCTCCCTCAGTCTGCAGCCTTTTGGGTTTTGTTAGAATCTGCTGAAGTGCAACTCGCATCTCCATACTGCTGGAGCACACTTTACTGAAGGCAAAGATGCTTTGTGGTTCTTGGAAGCTGTGCCGACACGGGCTGTCACTGGGTAAGGGTGATGGAATGATTTGTAAGGAAAACAAAAGTTGGAGCTGATGAAGGTACCTTGTGCCCTTGATGGACGAGACAAAAATAAAGCTGTTTAAGTTAGACTCTTGATCTTGTTAATGATTTTCACTTAAATGACAACTTTTATTTCAAAATTTCGTGTTGGGGAAATGTCCAGAAAGCTATGTTTCCTGATTCAGTTCAGGAAGAAGGGGGTACAGTTAATAATGAGATAAGCAGATTTCTGTTCATAAGGTGACATTTGACCAGAGTGTTGCCTGGTTATGTTTGTTGAACTTCGATATTAATAATGCTGTCTTTATTCACTGTCCCGTTTTGGTAAAATGTATGTGGTTGCCCCACTTAACTACCCAAACACTTGGTGATGTGGGCCCTGTGAGGTTTTTGTATAAGAACAGACCTAAGGGAAAACAGGCCAGGTTTGAAGTGCTTCATCCCTGGTTAATGTATTTTGTCCTTGAATTTAAATCATTAGGTTTATATGAAGCAAGGATGTTTTACAGACCCAGAAAATGGGCCCAGGGAGTCAGCCCAGAGTACACAGTGTAACTGTAATAGGAAATAGGGGTGGGGGAGAAGACAGGAAGAAACAAGAGGAGGGGGCACAACAGGTGCTACCTTAACCTCGGTGGGCACTGCTGCTCCAGGGCAGAGGGGAACCTAGGAGCCAGAAGGAGGTGGGGGGGGAGGGGGTCATTAGTACACTCCAGGCACCCTTCAGATTTCTAGCATTTAAGTTTTCCCTAACTAACCTGGCCCACCTGTGTCTGGCCTAGGAACCACTGGGAGACCAGCAGCCTTGGAGGCAGGTGTGCCTGGGGAGCCTGAGTTCACACACTGAGGCAGGAGCTGGTTGTCCTCTTTTCTGGGGGAGTGGGAGGTTCCTGTTCCCTGTGGTCCTGCTAACTGACCAGCAGCCCCAGGCAGTTGAGGATTCCAGGTGAGCATCACCCTCCCTCCAAGGACAATCATGGAGCTCCCCCATGCCCAGTGCCTGGCAGGGGCCAATCTCCCAGATAAAGTGCACCCAGGAGCAGACACTTCTGGGCTTTCTGTCCTGAGCAGAGGACTCTGCCTCCACCCACAACTACTTTATTGCCCTTCCCCATGGAGGAAACCAAGAGCTGTTCTAGTCACACCCCCTACTAAGAGGAGAAGTCCTCGGTGAGGCTGTGGCTCCTGGGGTGGCTTTTAGACCAAACATTGTCTAGAAAGGGTGCTGGGGGGCACAGTTGGGAGGCCAGGGTCTGAAATCTTCTCATGGGCGGCGGCGAGCTCCCAAGGAAGCTGCCGTTCCAGAAGTATACATGGTGGAAGATGCCCAAGACTAGCCTGGGGAGTGGGCGCTCATTCAGCACTCATACCGCCTAGGGAGGGCTCGGTAGGCAGAGGCTTTCCACAGGCTGTGTCCCCGTTGCACCCCGCCACACTTGGTGTCAGTCCTCTGCTCTGACACCTATAGTTCCAGGGAGAAATCCATCTCAGATAAACCATCAGTACCAGTGACAAGAAGGGCTCTGGGAAGGAAAGACCCATAAGCTGCAGGCTTAGGGCAGATGGTCTCTTGTTGAGAGTGAGCGTGTCCCTACGGAGGTGGTGCCTGGGCTCTATTAACCCCAACTCTCCTCCGTACTCCTACTCTGTTGGACATAAACGTATACGGGACCTTACCCATTAGTTTCTCACTGAGCTAAGCAGTCAGGCTGCAGAGGGGACAGAGTGAGGTTGGGTGTGAGGCCCCGGCATCACAGGCCCGAGGGTCCTGCTGCAGCCACAGGTCTCTCTCTTGCCACTTCCAGGCATCCAGCCAGTCTCAGCCCTCCTGCCCACCTCAAGCGACCTGGGAGGCCTGGACCAACTGCTGAACACTGTCAGCTAGCAGCTTCTGGGCCAGCGTGAGCTGCAGGGAAAGGTGGCCTAAGCCCTGAGCAGTCATCTCAGCAGTTTCTTATGAGTGTGACCTTTCTCCACGGCACTGACAGCCGCGTCATCAGCCTAGAGGGCAGGAGCTTCAGGGGCATGATGGGGGCACCAGGTGAAAACAAGGCCTGCAGCTGGCCCTCTTAGCAGATGGTGATTGGGGCCGGAGAGGGACAAGAAGCTCCCAGCAGTCTGGCTGGCCTCTGGAGTCGTGCCTGGCACATGGCAGAGGCTCCAGGCGTGTTTGTTGACCAAAGCGAAGGGCCCTGGCGGCACCACAGCCCAGCTGGGTGGATCTGGACCTAGCACAGGTGCCAAAGACTCAATCCAGTTCCCAAAAGGCTTGGTTACTGGCCTGGGCTTCCGAATTGAGCGTGTTCCAGGTAGAAACTGGGGCTCTAATGATGCAGAAAAGTGGCTGTCTCTCCCACCCTGTCCTCACGAGCAGAGGCTAAGCGTTCAATCTTTGCACTTCAGTGAGCAGAGGCTGGTAGAACACAGGCTGCAGTGGGCCAGGGTACTCATGGGGGCAGGGTGGTGGCTGAGAGAACGGGTGGCAGGGTCAGACAGACACAAGTTTAAGGCCCAGCTCTTCTCGGATGAGTTCCTTAATCTCTCTGTGCCTCTTGGCTTATCTGTAAAATGGGCATAATAACTGTGTGTATCCAATAGGCTTGTGAGAACTTAATGAAATAATCTGTACAAAACCCAGTAATTGTAAGCGCTAATCTGCTGCCGTTAAATTGATTCTGACTTACGGTGACCGTGTAGGACAGGGTAGAACTGCCCCATCGGGTTTCCAATGCTGTAATTTTTATGGAAGCAGACTGCCACATCTCTCTCCTGCAGAGTGGCTTTTTTGGTTAGCAGTGGAGCACTTAACCACTGTGCTCCCAGGGCTCCTATTTAAGCTCTGGAGATGACTTTAAAAATATTTAACAACAGGAGTGAAGAGCACTGACCAATCAGAACAGACACTGGTGGGAAACAACTGGTACTGACCGACACGTCAGCAGTTCGAACCCACCATCTGCTCCACGGGAGAAAAATGTGGCAGTCTGCTTCCGTAAAGATTCCCACAAAATCAAAACCACTGCTGTCGAGTCGATTCCGACTCATAGGACCCTGTAGGACAGAGTAGAACTGTCCCATAGGGTTTCCAAGGTTGTAAATCTTCACGGAAGCAGACTGCCACATCTTTCTCCCGTGGAGTGACTGGTGGGTTGAAACCACCAACCTTTCAGTTAGCAGCTGGGCTCTTAACCACTGTGCCATCAAGGTTTTTTCTGTAAAATTACAGCTTTGGAAGCCCTGTGGAGCAGATTTACTTTGTACAATAGGGTTGCTATGAGTCAGAATCGGCAATGGTTTTTATTATTACTAATGGAGTCCCTGGTGGTGCAAAAGATTAATACGCTCAGCTGCTAACCAAAAGGATGGTTTGAGTCCACCCAGAGGTGCCTCAGAAGAAAGGCCTGGTGAGCTACTTCCAAAAAATCATCCATTGAGAATCCTATGGAGCATGGTTCTACTCTGACACACATGGGGTCACCATGAGTCGGAATCAGCTCAATGGCAACTGGTTTTGGTATTAGTACAGAAGGGCAGAGGAGCCCGAATCAGGACATAGATGAACTCTCTGGGAACAACAACAAAAAGAACTTTTCAGAATGGGTGAGATGGGTGGGCCGTCTGCTGAGAGCAAACATTTTCAGGCTGGCTGGTTATAAATACCAGCTTGGAAGACGTGGATCGAAGTCCCATTAGGCTGGGATTATAGCGGAGAAACCAAAGGTGCATCAAGGGAACAGACCTCCACTGAGTGAAGGAAGACAGTGTAGCAAGGAGGGCCTGTTTTTAGGTGCCATCGAGTTGATTCTAACTCACAGCGATCCCATGTGACAGAGTATAACTGCCTCTTATGATTTTGAAAGCTGTAATCTTTATGGGAGCAGATCGCCAAGCCTTTTCTCCCATGGAGCTGCTGGGTAGGTTCAAACCGCCAACCTTTCAGTTAGCAGCCTTAACTATTGCACATTGAGGGCTCCTAAAGAGGGCCTAAGGGGTAAGAATTTGGTGCAGAAGACAGACATAGAACTCGGTAGAGAGGGGTGAATCTCAACGGTGGGCCAGGTCTCACCATGGACTGGACAAGTAAATGTTCCTTGGCACCTCTAAGCCTGCCTAGCCCACCCAGATAGCCTGGCCAAACATGGTATTCCCACCACTGGACAGTATGTCTCTGTGGTCGATATCACTGGAAATTCTTTCTTGATACTTCAGCCCTTCTCGGTTGGATCTGTGCTAGTCGGTTCTGGCTAGCAGAGTTTCTTGGCCTGCAGAGCAGAGAACACCCTGGGGTGTGGTGCCCCATGAAGGTACCACATCCCCCCAGTCCTGTGCCATCTGGCCAGGAAATGGGAGGGAAGGTCAAGGGTCAAATATACTTTCTTTTGAACAAATTACGGGTAACACACTAGACAGGATTCAAAAACAGAGTGAACATGTCTCCCAAGTCGATGTTTTAGAGTCCATCTGAACAAACCAGGGGCATTTCCCTTTAGATAAATCCAGGTCCTCCAAGAAAAACTCAGCAATGCAAAGGATAAAGATGGATCTAATGGGTGTGCTTGCAATAAAAATGAAACAGTAGAAATAAACGGGTGTGGGCTTAGAAAGATCAGGATTCATCCTTCAACTTTACTTGGAAAGCTCTTCCTCCACTCCTGGGTCACAGCAAGGAGCCTTGGTGGCACAGTGGTGAAGAGCTTGCTTGGCTGCTAACTAAAAGGTCTGCAAGTCGTATCTACCAGCTGCTCCGCCAAAGAAAGATGTGCCAGTCTGCTTCCGTAAAGATTACAGCCTTGGAAACCCTATGGGAATGTTCTACTCTGTCCTACAGAGTCACTGTGAGTTGGAATTGACCCGACAGCAACAGGTTAGGTGTTTTTTGAGGGTCACAGTAAAGGAGCCGTGGTGGGACAGTGGTTAAGTGCTCGGCTATTAACTGAAAGGTCAGTGGTTTGAACCCGCCAGCCCCTCTGTGGGAGAAAGATGTGGCAGTCTGCTTCCGTAAAGATTATAGCCTTGGAAACCCTATGGGGCAGTTCTACTCTGTCACTATGAGTTGGAATCAACTTGATAGCAATGGGTTTTGATTTTG